CAATGCCTGGCGAGACTGGCGAGCCGTCGCTTGCACAGTAACCTTGTTAGGCGCCGATGACGAATGGCTCTAATGGCTCTGGCGGGCTGGGCCTTTGGTCCCGCGTTGCCCCCACTAAGATGGGCTTGGGCTAGCTGGGCTAGTTGCCCAGTACTGGGTACTTCGTTTGCCGACGTCACCGTCATTGTCTCTTGTTAAACGGTGAATTGTACTCCGTAAGTCGGCCGCTTTTCAAAAACCGGGCATTGGTTGACGAATCCCACCCGCAAAGCAAGGTGCTCAGTCATCATAAACACTTCCTAATATCAGCCGCTGCATCATCTACCACAAGCTGCACAAGCTACTGCTTCTACTGGCAACGTCGGATCATATGTCTGTTGGAGCTCGCCGCCCTTTCCGCCCACCACCTGCTCAATCGCGGTGACAGCCAGCTATCCCCTCCTCCCGTCCTTCCCACCTAGGGCCATGTCTACCACCTGAACATTAGTCCTTGTGTACGTGCAGCAGGCGTCGGACCTTTCTGCCACCAGTTCAGCCTGCCAGAAGGCTCCTCATCATGCCCGACTTGAACCTCCACGACTGCCTCAAGGCGCTGGGACCCTGCAAGTTCTCCGACATCCCGCAGCAGCAGGAAGAGCTAGATCCTTTCCTAGCCGATCTCTTTTCTCAAGCCCAAGCCGTGGTCGAGTCGATACCTATACCTGACCCTGATCCTGCTCACCGAAATCGTTCACATACCACCGGCTCGATAGCGCCAACCAATGCCTCGGAGATGTTCGTGTCTTCGGCGCGGAGCCCTCCGCCGGCTCCAGAATATGCGGCGCTGCAGCAAGAATGGGGTAAGCCGATCAAGCTGGCCGCAAAAGACAATCCCTTGGGCATAGCTGTCTACAAGCTGGGCAGCAAGGACGGCAAAGGCGCCTGGTTTGCGCGGAGAAGTGTACACGAAGGCTTGGGCTTCAGCCGGTTCAAACGTGGCTTCGAGCGTGAATTCCCCACTTCTCTCGCTGTCCAGGGTAAACCCGGGGAGGGCAACATCAGGGGCATCGGTGCAGAGACGAGAGTCGAGGAGATCACCGTGCCAAACCGTGGAAAGGTCGAAGTATACCGCCTCAGTGCCCAATTCCCCGGCCCTACCACCCCCCGTGACTTTGTTACGTTATTGGTCACCTCATCCAAGGCGATGAAACACCATGGGGAAGCCGATCTCGTCCCACGGCATTACATGATCGTATCCAAGCCATGTGACCATCCGGAGACTCAACCACGGCCAGGCTTCATCCGTGGCCAGTACGAATCGGTAGAGTTTATTCGAGAGGTTCCTAGAAAGCTGAAGGCGACAATGTCGTCCACAGACTTGAGTCACATAGGTCACCATAGAACGCCGTCGCCCTCGCTCGAGAAAGACGTGCTGAAGCGCAATGCAGAGAAGCACGCGTCTGCAGAAGAACTCCACGGCCAGCATTTGAGGGTTGACACGCGCGGTTCTGGGCAGCGCGACCCGTCTCCGGGGAGCAGGAAGAGGAGTGTAACCGTGGATGCTCCCGCGAGCCCAATCATGCACTCCGATCCGGTCGAGCCTTTCGACCCCGAGGAAAACCCTGTCGAGTGGATCATGGTCACTCGCAGTGACCCCGGCGGCAGTGTGCCACGTTTCATGGTCGAGAGAGGCACTCCGGGAAGTATCTGTGGCGATGCTGTCAAATTCTTGGATTGGGCGTGTCAGAGGGATGACGAACAAGAAGCGCTCGAAAATGTGGACTCCCGACCCCACGCCCACCGGCGGGAAAGCTTTGCCAGCTGGGAAGCTAATGGCACACTAGCCGGCATCAGAGAACACGAGGAAGGTCTCGAGCCCGTCGAGCAATCACCACCTCATACTCCGAAAGCCTCCGCAAGCCAAGGTCCATCCATGGATAGTCACGATGCTGGCGGATCTGTAGCTCATGGGTCGTCATCCCCTTCGCAGTTCTTGAACCAAATGACAGAGACCATTGCTTCATACACCCCACAAGTCGTAGGCGACCGTCTACCGCATTTTGGACAAACGCAGGAAGCTCAAGTGCCCCAGGACATAACCAAGCAGGGGATGCAGCCTGGGAAAAACGTGGATGGTGGTGATGATGATGATGATGCGTCCTCCACTATCTCCACGGCTTCCTTTACCTCGGCTGACTCGCATATCACATCAGACGCAGCGTCACCTTCAGTCTCATCAAAGTCGCTAACAGATCAATCCGAAAGCCAGCTTTTGCAGCAGCATGACAAGGAAGTTGCAAAACTGGCCCAACGCCGGGCAGCCATGGACGCCAAATTCGCGAAGCAGCGGGAAAAGCTGGCTAGCCAGACCAACAAGGATAGCGAGAAAGAACAGAACGCACTGAAGAAGGCCGAGGAGAAGCACCAAAAGGAGCTGAAGAAACAGGAGGAGAGATATGAGAAAGAAATCGCCAAGCTGGAGCAGAAAAAGAAACGGGAAGCACAGAAATTGGAGGAGAAGCGACGAAAGCAGGCAGACAAGGACGAAAAGGCGCGCCTGACCCGAGAGCGGGACGAGGCCAGAGCCGAGCTGGATCACTTGAAACGGGAGCAAGACCTGTTGACTCGCCAGGTCGGCGAACTGCAGAAGGAGAATACCACACTGATGGCACGCATTGGGAAGCTCGAGGGTAGCAGCTCATCCGTTGACAGCCCAGGGAGTGGGAACAACCGATTCAGGGCCATGACTTTGGGACAGGAGACGCGAGGTAGGAGCTCGAGTCTTATGAATCGAAAGAAGGATAAAGAGGAGTCAGGCATTCAGCATTCATGATGCGGGAATGACTTTTGGGCGGTCCTCTTCACACGTGCCCGGATCCCTGGAGGTCAAACATTGGGTTCACCAGGTTTGGAGGGAAGACCTCGACGGCGGCGGTCAAGGTGCGAGGCTGGAGGATTGGAATTCGACATTCTGTTGTTGATGGAGGCTCAGCACCTTGCTCGGACAGCCATCAAAAATGATACAGCATATAATGCAAACATCATTAGTGCCGCTGTCATTTCTTTGCTCATTGTCGAGGTGGTGATGATCGCGTTGTCGCGGTCGCGTCTAGAAAATGACGTCACGCGACGAGGTTCTGTTCTGATTGTTTTCACAATCGAGTTGCCCGTTTACTGATTCATCGACCCAGCGATCCCATTCGAAAGGCGTGCTTCCTCTGAACTGCAGAGGCTCAAATTCCAATAACGCGGAATGCGAATGTGCATGATGAAGCGGACATTTCCGTGGTCAAGCTCGAGCTCGAGCTCTGTCTTGGAAAGATAGGTGAGAGAAGTCGAGTTACATATTCCAACAAACCTTCCTCCCCCTGCTCCCACAAATTCTTCCAGTTAACGTGCCCCATTATCTTTGCGAAAACGCTCACACGATGCCCTTGCCACATCCCAAGCCTATGCCATCCTACTGGCTCTCGTACGATTCCAACCTGCAAAACCATCGGACGACCGCGGCTCTTCCCCCGGAGGCAGATGTGGTAGTAATAGGCGCGGGCTACACTGGCGCGGCCACTGCATACTATATTCTGGAAAAATCCACTAGTAAGAGGCCGTCAGTTGTGATCCTGGAAGCACGAGGCATTTGCTCTGGGGCCACAGCGCGCAATGGAGGACACATCAAGCCCGATGTCTACTTCAACGCTGTTCTCAGTGAGAAGATGTTCGGGCCTCAGATGGCACAGCAGCTCACGAGATTCGAGATGCAGCAGGTCTTCGATGTCAAGAGATTGGTCGAAAAGGAGCAGATTGACTGTGACTTTGAGCTCACCAGGGCCATTGACGTGTTCCTCGATCCTCGAGTCGCAAAGGAGACAATTGCGGCTTTCGAAGAGATGAAGGCAAGAGGATATCGGTTTTCGGATGACCTCCACTTCATCCAAGATCCGAAGAAGGCTGAGCAAGTCTCCGGCGTCAAGGGCGCATTGGCGGCCTTCACGTTTACGGCCGGCACGGTATGGCCATATAAGCTGGTCTGTCATCTACTGCGTCGCTGTCTGGAGTGGGGCGCAAACTTGCAGGCAAATACTCCCGTCACTAAAATCTCGGAGACGGCAGATGACCGTGGCCGTTGGACGGTCACTACTCCTCGAGGTGCAGTCAGGGCGAAAAAGGTCGTTTTCGCTACAAACGCTTACCTCTCCACAATCCTGCCCGAATTCCAGGATAAGATAACACCAGCAAGGGGCGTTGCATGCAGGATCGCAGTAGCAGCGAATTCAAAGAAGCCGGCGCCACATCTCAACAACTCGTACAGCATCCGCTACGGTCCTCAAGAGTACGACTACCTCATCTCCCGGACAGACGGGAGCGTCGTGGTTGGAGGCGCGAAACAAGCGGTTCTCGTAGACGAGACATATTGGCACAACAACATCAACGATTCAGAGCTGATACCGGGTGCAGAGAAGTACTTTACTGGCTACATGCAGCGCATGTTCCATGGCTGGGAAGATTCAGGGGCAGAGATCACTGATATCTGGACTGGAGTCATGGGCTATTCTTCAGACCTCGTGCCTTGGGTTGGAGAGGTTCCAGGAAGGCCAGGTATTTTTGTGAACGCAGGCTTTACTGGTCATGGCATGCCCAGGATCCTCGGCTGCTCCGAGGCACTCGCGGCTGTTGTTCGAGGGGACGTGCAATCGTTGAAGGACACGTGCCTGCCTGCGCCTTACTGGATCACCGAGGAAAGACTCCGGGCAAAAAAGAGCATCACTCGTGAGTACATGGCCGGCTCGAGACCCTCACATTGAGTACGGTGGAGTGTGGTGCCAGAATGCGTTAGCTGACATGAAGCCTCCCGACACCCCGGATTGGCGGACAAGCTCCTTCAGCTCCAACCAACCTTGGATTATCGGCAGCGGTGTCCTTCGCGAATACATACCAACTCGCCCAGCATCTGAACCTTCCCCGTTAACAGGCGACAGGGTTTGCAATATCTGTTCTTTCACTCCTCTCAGCCTCTCGAAGCCATGACGCTCAACGCAGCCGCTGCGTCCAAACCGCCTACAGTGATCCACATCGAGGGACGTGCCAAGGTTAAGACGACTGCCGAGCGAGCCGCACTTGACGTGCACGTCTTTGATACCGGCTATGACAAAGATTTGGCTGCGAAGAATGTCATCACGGCTGTTAATACCTTGCAAAGCCAGCTCGATTCGCTCGTATCGCGGCTCGAGAATGGGGACATATCGCCCTCCTCTCCAATTACATTCTATTCAATCGCTTCACTCTCCATCTCGACAGGTGATGATTACGACAACGAAGGCAATCGACCAAAACCGGACAAGAAACTGCATACGGCGAGCTCAGCTATCGACGTTCACTTCCGGGACTTTACGATTCTAGGGGAAATGGTCGTTCGTCTCTCAGGCATGGACTACGTCGGCCTCAGAGGCGTAACTTGGCAGTTGACCGACGCGAAGCAAGCTTGGCTGGATGAGGAAGTCCGCATGCAAGCTCTCAGGCACGCCATAGAAAGGGCAGAAGCGTACGCACGTATCATCGGCAGAGAGAGGGTCACATGCGTCAAGATTGAGGATAATGGGGAGTTCTGGCCTTTAACGCGGGAAATGCAGACTGTAAGAAAGGTAGCAAGTGTTGAAGCTTTTGGTGTGGGTGCCGGCATACAGTTTGAGCCAGGAAATATCGAGGTGACAGGGACGGTGAGTGTCGAGTTCCATGCGGAATGATAGCCGGATTAGTGCGTCTGACCAGAGAGTTATCTACGTGGTTGCAAGCGCTTATACCGACCTGGAGACTTCAATGGTGGAATGCTTGGTCTTAAGTGGATGGGTGAGCGAATCTCCGTCGTGGTAATGGCCGTCGAAATTGGTATATTCGACGTATTGCCGTCCTTCGATGGAGCACAGACTACCGATGCATCTCACCAATGCTGCCTGCAATTCCTCGAGCAACGTGGATCGACTTCTTGAGGTGGACTACGTCTGGACTCAGTGTTTCTCTAGAAGTTTGCTCAGTCTGTTTCAGTCAACCGCTTCACTCTCTCCGTTGCCACGATCTTGTTTGTTGATGTCGGCTCCGAACTCATCACTGTCGACAATGGCCACCGGTGAAGCAGTGAAGGACATGAGGTGAGGAAGCTCTATTCGCCACGCTTCGCTCTTCAGTCTATATATATTGCTCTTATTCCCTCAGAACTAAATATCCTTATTCCTCATTCAAACCATTCTCAACCCATCCACCACTTCGTCCACGTAACTAACCAAGGCCCCGAGCGCGAATCGAGATCGAATGTCATTGCAGAAGACTGTAGTTCTATCACAGCCCGCTTCAGGCAACCGACGCTCTACGGTTCAATTCAGATCTGAACAGTGCAGTGCAGTGCAGTGTGTAAGCGCTCCACGAACCTCTCACTTTGAGCTTCCATTCCCATCCCGATCGAGACTAACAAGCACAATACACCATGTGCGTCATCTACAGCGGAACGATCTATCTCCGATGCAGTGATTGTAACACTATTGATCTAGCTTCGGCGCGCAGTTTCCGAGCCATCACGCAATGCGAGGCAGACGACAACCACACATGTCCCCTGGGCCTGCGGCCCCTCCAGAAGCGTCAGAAGATCACCGTCCCAGACATCCAGCGCTGCCATGAGTGCGAGCAAGTCAGGGCAGAACAGCAACGTACCATCCACTCCATCTTACGCGGTAAGCATGCCAGTCGAGGTCGAGGTCGAGGTCCGCGACGGGTTCCGGCGAGCACGAGGACGAGTCGACCCGAGGCGGTGATCCGCAACTCACACGGGCGCGACATGCTGCTGGAGGCATTGTTCGCTGGCAGTGGCGTGGGAGAATCCGGTGTCAGCAATGTCGCCAATATGGACGTATCGAACCCGTCGATATTCCTGGACGCAAGCCAGACGCAGACTCAGACTCTACAATCCACTCATCCGGCGCAGGCCGAGCCCGTCTCCGACCTAGCAGTCCTACTTTCATCTGCGGAGTATCCACCCCTTCCGGAGTTACCATCCGATCCAGATTTCGAGGAACTGCTCAACATGGGCGTGACGTTCACGCAGTCGACAGCTCGGCCTCAGCAACCTCGGGTCGAGCAAGCGGTGGAAGGGGAGCTGAAGGTGAAGGGTGAGGAAGGGCAGCAACGAGAAGAAGAAGAGGCAGAAGAAGAAGGAGAAGAAGAATCAGAGGAAGAATCAGAGGAGCAAGAAGGACAAGAGCCCATGGACCACGATCACAAGCGCAACCTGGTCGACTCGTGGCTGAACGATCTGTTTGACGTGGCTGGTTGCGCGTACCCTGCGTCGGACGAGAAGCTGTAGATAGACGGGCGACGTACCTACAACACATACATGTCGGCATTCACTTGATTCAGCCAGCCAGCCAGCCAGCCACCTCGGGCACGGATATGTAGAACTGTTACAGTGGAGGAAATGTGGGAATGAAGAAATGCTTCTTTGTGTAGTCTGTTAATTACAGTACCTCCATAAGAAGTGCATCTTCCTGTAGTCACTTAATTACCTCCATAAGAAATGCATCATGCCACTCAATACTTACTCACTTACATGTCTCCGGTCCGTCCGAGACACTGGACGTACTTGAACGTTTCTTCATCCCAGTGTCTAGCGTGCTTGCACGGGAACATCCAACTTACGTTCGTACGAATAAGTTAACGTTGCCTTGCCTTGCCTTGCCTTGTTTTGCCTTGCCTTGTTTTGCCTTGCGAAGCATTACCATACCTCACTTATCCACTCAATCGGTGTCGCCCTCGCTTGCTCGCTCAGCTCTAGCACACCCGACTCATACTCATCGACTCACTCACTCACCCACTCACCCACTCACTCCATCTAATGCTAACGCTCGCTTTCTCGCCCGCTTTCTCGCTCGCTCATCCCCTCCTCCCACGCCGCCCTCTCACTTAGATATCGGCCCGTCTCGCTGCCGCGGATGAAGTCCAGCCACCGACTCCAGAGGAGCGTCCTGGCCATTTCCCTTTCTTGCTCGTCCTCGCTTTCGCCGGGCATGATCTCGAGTCCTAGTCGCGCTTGGCAGGTGCGGCCTATATAGTTACCGGGGGGGAAGGTTAGATCAGGGGTGATATCGGCAGTTAAATCAGGGTGAACCCTCGATTTGGAGTACAGAGTACGAGGACATCTGTGGGTGCCGGGGCAGGTGCAAATACGTGGTGTGCCGCGCCAAGGTCAAAAGGCAGAGGGCAGAATCCACGAGTCAGTATGACCGTGGAAGTTAAGTAATCACCACCACGTACGTGGCTGACTTGCCTTGGCCAGGGATACAGTTCCGGCCTCCCACTTCCCGCTTCCACTAGTTTGACGCGATCAGGGGCAAGGTGAGAAACTGAACTTACACCGCTCGTGGCTCTTGACGGTCAATGTGCACGGTGGGGTGCCCGTGTCTGGCATCTGCGTGAACGTGCCGTCACAGACGGCGTTGGGATTGTGAGTGTCGATATCAGTCTCGGTCTCAGTCTCGTGAAGGGAGGCGCGCTCCGGGTCGTGGATGTGTCCGAAGCGGCAGATGTGGAGAATGGCGATGGTGGCGCGGATGGTCGACGGGCAGAGATCGCATTGGTAGATGAGGATGAAGGGGGCGATGTAGCACATTTGCAGCGTGCTGGTGTAGCGGTGTGAGCTTCAGACTGCTCTGCTCGGTCGAGAAGGGATTGTCAAGAGGAAGAGAGGAATGAGTGGCTCGCCGAGAAGGATCAAATTACGGTTCACGGGGAGGAAGATGAGGTTCGCTTGAGGCGATATATGTACCAGTACTGACGCTGGGTGTATATTCACTGAAACGAGGGGCCAGCCTAATGGCAGTGTCACATAGTAAATGCTGGGTCTTGTTGAAGGTTGATCATCTTGAGTGAGGAGTCATGCTCTCAGTTGCTCACTCGCTCGCTCACCACTCACTTTGATGAGGCCAACAGTCACATAGACCGCTTCAAATTTATTCTGTCGAAAGACCTGTCAATCCACAGAGTGGAGGGTCTCGTGCTCAAGCAACAACCCGTTGGTGCTGAACGGCACGTTTGTCGTGGCACAACCCGTCACACCCAACTTTTCAGTCACGGCTTCTATCCCTGGCCTTCATGTTGTGGCTCTGGCCGCCGAGAAGGGGCGGCACGTCGAGCGGACGAGGAATTGTCTGCTTGTGATCTCACTCACAAAGCAAATGTCTCTGCTTGATGTTTATTCTGCAAAGCGAGAAAGGCTGCGTTTGCAGAGAATCGAGATTCGCCCTTCGGAACTTGGTATGAATTGAAGCCGTGTTTCTTTAAGACCTAGGTAAAGTCCTCCAAAGTTTACGGAGGACACTGTGCCACACTATTGCACACACGTAGGACGGAAACGTCTGCAACTTGCGGAGTTTGTCCGTCACCTCAAAACTCTGCTCACAGCTTGCTCACCTCAAACTTTGCTCACGTCTTCTTGGGCCGATCTCTTGCTGCATGAATCAGGCACCGCCAGGCAACGACTCCAGTCCGTCCAATGGCCGGCTTGATTACGTAACGAGCAGTGACTTGGCTGCATGAAGTCGCGTCTCCTAGTACGAGTTAGTCTGACAGTGCTCGCATCGACTGAAGCGCGACGCCAACGCGGGTTCACGTGCTCCGTCCGACCAGAGGTTTGAAGTTTTACTTACCGTGGACGAGGGACTCAGATGAGCTTCACTCCGCTCCACTCAGTTGAGTTCGCAGCTATCTTGAAGAGGCAGTCTCACACACGCATGCTACGTCCGTACTGTGAGCCGGTACTGGAGCTGTGTAGTGTGGCGGCCGGAGATCTGACTATTTAGGCGTCACTCCCTCCCATTCCCCTTGAGCATCCCAGTCCCCTCTTACAGACCACACAGTAGGTACTCTGTCAGTGTGGGTACGATTAGTCTCTCACCTACCATCTACATCTGATTCTGTGCATCGCCTCCCCACGCGACACAACAAGTACAACATACCACCACCACCACTATGCCTCTCGACCACATCTCGTACTCGGTGCACTTTAGCAAATTCGACGACGAAGTCGCCTTCCTGCTTGCCTCGTTCGGGCACATGGGCCTCAAGGAGTTCACGCGGCCCGCGCCCGGCGTGGTCGGTCTAGGCGAAGAATGCCAACCCTGGCTGTGGGTTTGTGGCATCGAGGACAGACAGCCAATAGGCGATGACGTGAGAGTGTTGAAGAACCATCTGGCCTTGACGGCGAAAGGTGCGAATCTGTACTGATGCGGAAGCAGTGTCACGAGCAGAAGCACAAGCACAAGCAGAAGAACATATGACTGACGAGTAACCGTGCCAATCCAGATCGCGCTCAGGTCGACACCTTCCACGCTGCGGCCCTCAAAGCCGGCGGGACCGACAACGGCGCACCCGGTGTGAGGGCCGAATACCATCCGAACTACTACGGCGCGTTCGTCACCTCCCCGGGGGGTCATAATATCGAGTGCGTGGTGCATACTCCTCCTCCGGCGACCAATTGACAGTTGGGTGGTCCTTCGACCATGACGAGGGCGGAGGAAGGGTATGACGCCGCGGCGGACATGCAGGGGATTTACCCATCTAGCGGCTATCGACCTGCGGCGGCAGTGGGTGTGGACGGTCGACAGCAGGTGAATTTGGATCTGGAGACGATCGGTAACGGGCAAGGGCGTGGACAGGGCCAGAGCCGGGGCCAGGCAACCCGGAGATCAAGTGTCTTTAGGATTGGCGGGATTTATCTGAGATATTAGCAAAGGTAGGGCTGCAATGTAGATTTGAACGGCGAGAAAATGGTGGTGGTTGTAACTGTTTCCCCAGATACGTATGATACTGTGTACGCAATACGACTGGATCGCACGTCGATCTTCCTGACCTGACTGACCTGACTGACCTGACTGACCTGACAATGAACGCACTTCAGCCCCAAAGCGCCACCTGCCGTGACTCGGCCGGGACATGTACACTCCTGCTACGCCCTCCCCTCCCTCACTTGAAGAAACTGCTGGACTCGGCCCCGCTCTGCTTGCCCTCCTGGTACGTAGCACTCAGCCCATCGTACATCTGCTTGATGCGGTGCAACTCGCCCTTCAGCTTCGTTTTCGTGGCTTCATCGTCCACCTCGTCGATCAGCTCGGCCAGTGACCGCGCCGTGAAGAACTTGTTCCTCCGATTGTACAGCGGCTTCGCTGCGAGGGTGGCCTCGGACTCACCCGGCGAAGCGACCTGGTATACCGACTTTAAGATGTCGATGTCGTCTGGGAGAGCGTACGTCAGTCAGCACTGACACATACAAATGTACAAACGTACAAACACGCATGACTACGCGCACGATACGCGCACTATGCCCGTGGACGTTGCTCGCTCGCTCGCACGACATCACTCAAGTATACAAGGTAAATTACTTACACGGAATGGCAAACAAATCCCGGCTATCCTCGTACGTGAACATGTAGTAGAACTCGTTGAACCCGCTCCACGTGATGCCGCTCAAGCACAGCGAGCACGGCTCGTGCGTGGCGAAGAAGATACACTCGCTCGTCTCCGGGCGCGTGTCCCGGGGCAGTTTAAAGAACTGTTGGATGCAGTTGATCTCGCCGTGCAGGAGCGGCGATTCGCGCTCGTTGTTGGTCTCGGCCAGCACGGTCCTCAGGCTCGCGCGGTCGAGGATGGCCGCGCCGAAGAGCTTCGACCCCTGCGCGACTTGCTTCGCCGTGAGCGGGATGATGGCGTGTTCGGTTGTTGCCAGGAGCGCGGATGCCAGGATTGCGGCGGCCTGGGGGGGCATTGCTTGCTTTTTGCTCTCTCAAGATGAGGTCCAAGTTCAGCAAGACAAAGACTTCAACGCCTACACAGTCAGCCAGCTGGGCCTGATGTGGTCCTTGGCCATTCGCTTTTATAATGTCTTGTTTATCATTGGGAGCTCTTTTTCATTTGAGTTTTCTCCTCTCTTCATGATGTGATACGGGAACGGGAACGAGAACGAGTCTCGTCACAAGGGCATGCAGGGCTGTCGGAGAAGGCCGAGGCGGGTGCCGGCGCTTTTTCTGCAGTCGCATGCAATGTACTAGTAATTAGCCATCTGTCTAGTTCATGTTCGTACAGAGTAGATGTGCATGATTACTATGCGCCCCGGGTTTGACGGACCATTCCCCCGTAGATCACCACCTCCAGCATCCATGAAAGGCACGCCGCCTCTCTCACCTAGGCCTCGCCTTTATATAAGATTAACGCTTCCCAACACCCACCCCTTCTCGCACACAATGCGGAATGAACGCCCATGGCCTAACCCCTGATCCCGTGCGCACCTCAGTGTTTCTTCATCATGAGAACCAAATAGCCTAGAATTCTATAGACGAGGATGATCGCAAACATGATCCCGATCCATTCGCCGACCTTGTCGTCTGACCAGGAGAACTTGTACGCACGGAGGACAGCAGAGCCACGGATCTTGCCTTGGGCTTGAAGGTCGGAAGGATACATGCACTGGTATTCATTTGTCTCCGAGGACGTGGCGCAATCCCAGATCGTGGAGCGGAACTGGTTGACCATCATCCCTTGGAACACGTAGGCTTGGTAAACAATGTAGTGGAAGACATCTATTGAAGATGCAAATGCAGTCACCGCTAGTGCCACCACAAACAAGGGGAAGATGCTCGAAACGAGTACCACGGCGTGCTCTTGCGTGACATACGCGAGGAGAAAATCGGAGCAGTGCTGCTCACGGTTGCGGCGGACGACATTAATGCTTTGTGCTCGTCAGATGCTGTCCAGGCTTCGTGCACGTAGCCCAAGGAGCCGTCGGCGCAGCTATCGTCGTGTCCAAAGTCGGTGTTGACCAGGTCAAGCAGGTACTCCGCCGGGTTGATGTGCAAGGGTATTGGTCGGCCAATGCGCTCAAAGTAGTCTTCGACTGCAGAAACGCCTCCGAAATAGCACGTTCGTCCTTGCGACAGAAGCATCAGTTGATCGAAAAGCTGGAAGGTGGTTGTTGATGGCTGGTGGATAGATGCGATGACGATCAGGTTGTGTTGCTTGGCCTCCTGTCTGATGAACTTCATGCATTCGAAACTGGCAGTAGAGTCGAGCCCGCTCGTGGGTTCGTCCAGGAAGACCAATCGTGGCGATGTGACAAGTTGGCTAGCCACGCTCAATCTGCGCTTTTGGCCGCCACTGAGGCCTTTCCGAAGTGGTGTGCCGACGACTGTGTCGGCCTGCCGCTGTAGACCGAATGATTCGATCAGCTCGTCCACTCTGAAAAGCCTGTCTTTCTTCGAGGTGTTGCCATTCATGGACAGTCTGGCAGCGAAGTCGACTGTTTCTCGCGCTGTGAGAATGCCGATCATGGCGTCTTCTTGCTCGACATAGGTGGAGACTCGCCGGATAGCAGCTTCATCCATCACTTGTCCATTCATCATGATCTTCCCCTGTAGGTCGCCCTTCATTGTGCTTGTGCGATGTGCAAGCACGTTTAATAGTGTAGTCTTCCGCTCCCACTTGGACCCATGAGGGCAACGACACTTCCAGCTTGAACACAGCCATAGCTAGAGCTCAGGATCTGTATGGGCTTCTTGATCTTTCGGTCCTTCACGGTAACCCCAACATCCGACCACGAGAAGGATGTAAGCGTATGGTTGGTGAGGTGGTGGCTCAGTTCATTGCCCTTCTCCATGTCTTGAATGGCGTTGGTGGTATGCCTGGAGGCACCGCAAGATGGATCAAGATCGGTGGTCAACATTGCAGATGGAAGCTCTTATCAGTTTTGCAAGCTGCAGCGAAAGGCGAGGCCAAAAAACGCATTATCCACAGCTGAGCAGTCAAGAGCATGAGAAAGATATAAGAGCCTTAAGGGGAAGCCTGAACAGGGGTTTTTTAACCCAACAATCCGAGCGCCTGAATGATCTGAACGTCTTGGACAAACTTACACTTCTCAAAGGGGCGGGCAGTCCGCCGTTCAGGTCATCCATCGGCCAAGCTGGTACAGCATCCATCGAGTAGCATTTGCTTCGTATCATTTCAGTGCGCACAAAAGGGAGACAATCGCTGTATCACCTGAGGCACAACAGGAGTGCTCGGCCGTATCGGCGTATGTGTTTCTCCTTCTTCCCACGAGGCTGCCTGAGCACTCCAAGACCCGACTGCCGAATACCGACATCCCTCGTAAAGCGGTCCGAACCAGATGTTATGCTGTTGATTGTATTCCAAAGTACCAACACAGCAAGCATTGTTCGGGGACCAGCACGACGCAACCCCCTTCCCAAAAGCGGGTCACTGACAGTCAGCTCCACATGTCGTGCATTCGGGGATCTCAACATAGTCATCAAGATGCAAGTACTCCGTACTGTGTATATAATCGATCCCCGGACCCAGCTCTGAAGACCCCGTGCTTCCTGCAGGATGATGTCCACAGTAGAATGGGGATCAGATACTTGGGGCGCCTGGAACGTTGTTCTGCGTAGGGCTAAGCTACGGGCTCATCGGGTTCCACGAGGTGCCGGAAGGGTGGCGTGAGCTGAGCCCCGACCTGAGGAACACGTGACACGGTCGTGTACGCGGAGAGAACACCAGCGTAGCATCGTTCTCGGGGGTCGCGACCTTCGAGATCGTCTGAAGAGCATGTTGTAGCAGAGGAGGTTCCGAGCTTTCCTTGTCGCACGCGGTAGTAGGGTACTGTGTACACATTAATTGTTGTGCTTCTGGTGAAGCTCGCGTGAAATGAAATGGAGATTGCCACGTTGTCCTGAAACAAGCTAGTGCAGCACCTCGGCGACAGCGGTCACATGATTCGCCATAGTTGCCGTATACAGCCGGGCGCCACACGGCCCCCCACAGCGGTCCCCGACGACCTCGCCAGAGTAAGATCTGAGAAGATATCGAAACCTTGAGATCGACGGCGAGAGATGCTACAGGACCTGTCCGAGCGGGTGAATTCGTATCGTCCCGTGTCTGTGAGCAAATATTAGCCTGTCCTCGTTCGAGGCAAATCACACGCACTTGCAGCGGGCTTCTAGTTACTTAACCCAGCACGCATCTGCCCCTCTCACCGACAGGACCGTAATCGCCAGTCAACCTCACTCCGAAGCAGACAAATCGGAACATGGCTGCAGAAGGCGCCACTCCTAACCCAGGCGCGGGCTCTGGTAAAGGCCGAACGAAACATCCAAGCCTTTTGGCCTGCATCCCATGCCGCAAGTCGCATCTCAAGTGTGATGGCCAAAAGCCGCTATGCAGCAGATGTGCAGATCGAAACGGCGACTGTTACTGGGTTGATTCCCGAAGAGGATACCGAGAATTCCGCAAGCCCCAATCAAACGCAGGAGACAAACCTGACCAGAAGCCGAAGAATGATCCTATTCACTATGACACTAAGCCTTTCGTGTCTCCAGATGGCCGCAGAGTCTTTAACGAGGCTGACGCTACCAAAATGCGTGCCCTGACATATGCTGAGATCTTCCAGCACAACGCCGACGCTGCGGTGTTCCAGACTCTGCCTCTAGAAATGCAAAAGACCATGCCGCCGCCGCCGAAGGACCAGCTTCCTAGCCCTAGCAACAGTGATTCATCGCTGTCCCTGACCCGAGGGTCCATTGGATCTGCTGGATCTGCTGGATCCGTCGGGTCTGCGGGAGAAGTGCCTCCTTTTACAGACAGGTCGATGGTGACCGACACCGACCTGATCGACCTCTTCTATAGGCATTTCTATCCGTCTCATCCCTTCATTGCTCCACGAAAGCTATACCACCAGAACCCTGCTATCTTGCCTCCAGCGTTGCAAGCATGCATGCGATGGCTTGCAAGCCATTATATTCCACCAGCCAACCACCCCGCGCTGGAGAACGCAGCAAAAATGATCTTCGCACCGGACGTGCCGGACGATGGCTTCAAAGTGCAAGGCCTGATACTCTACGCGATGACCAATTTCGCGCGCTTTGGTCAGGCGGAAGGCTCGATGGCGCTGGACAAGGCCATTGAGATCTCGCTGCGGATCGGGCTCAACCGGAACACCTTCGCCCTGCAACAGTCACCTAATGATTCGACCTTGCAAGAGATGTGGCGACGTACATGGTGGACCCTGCTCCTCATTGAGGGCTTGGTGGTGACGATTGGCGGTCAGTCGTCGCCGTTCCGCCTGTACTCGACGTACAACGATGTGGCTCTGCCGGGACATGACGAGGACTACAACGAACTTCGATCGCCTCCTCTCACCCGCACCATCGCGGACCTCCGCAACAGGACGTTCTCGGAAGACAACTTCGAGTACTCCTCCTTCGCGTATCAGATCGAAGCCACTTACATACTCGGCTCGGTGCTCGCGCTCAGCCCCGACACGTTCGCGGTAACAGACCCCCAGGTCGAAGGAATAGATGCCGCCATTTCTCACCTCCTGTTATCTCTGCCGGCAGACAAGCGACAAGTGTTTCGCAGTGACGGTTCCATCGACGAATGTCTCTTCATTGCTCACCTGGTCATTCACTGGGCGGCGATATGCCTGCACCGACCACGATCGACCCTGACCTTTATCCGCAACCACTACCGCACAACATGCACCAAGGCCGAGGCTGCCGGTCTTCCCGCACTGGCTTACACATCTCACACGGCCAAAGCCCTGAGGGCGGCAAACGCAATCACCCACCTCGCCGGCATGCAGCCAGATGTGAAGATGTGCTCGCCCGTGCTGATGTGCGGCTTGACCACGGCCGCAACGGTGCATCTCCCGGCCTACGCCATCGTGGACACCCCCGACCAAGCGGTTGCCATCAAGGAGCGCATGCAGCTGTGTATCACAGCGCTCGGGGCGTACGGCGAAGTCTGGCCCCGGGCAAGCATCGCCAAGACCCAAGTCGCCAAGTTCGCGCGGGAAGTCTTGACAAAGCCGAATGTGTACGTCGACTGCACCGCCTCTCACATGATCCCGCGAGCTTCAGAGCCCGTACCGCAGCTGGAGTATCAGATGCCATTCAACAATGATTCGTGGATGGACAATCTCATTCAAGCCGACCAGGAAGTCGAAGCGCCTTCCTGTCCTGTATTCGACACATTCGCGCTGGCTCAGAACCAGCACAGCATGCAGGGCATTTGAAGAGCATGTCACGGCAAAAGGCTTTCTTGAAACAATGACTACCAAATATCTCTTTGCTCTTTGGGCTATCTGTTTTTATACAGTCTTGAAAGAAACTCTCAGCGCGAATATTGAGCAGGCGCACCACTCCTTCAAAGAAGCGTAGGTAGAAGAGCGAAAAGCGGTTCTTGGTCAGGAGGCGACGCTTGGGCGGAAACTTGCTGGCGTTTGTGGATTTAGGAGATTTTTTCACGACTGACGACCGCATTTCAAAAACCCCTTGATGCCATCTCGGTGTCTCCATTTCAAGAAGACAAGGTATCCAAAATACAACACAAAGTCTGAATCTGAATTTTCACCCTGAATGGCTTTCGTTCCGATATCCCATCCATGAATATATACACATGCATTCTCGTAAAACGTCGTGATCACTGCACACAGAAAAGAGGCCTATCGCACGCCCCAACCTGGAGCTGGGCCTTCCTACCCCGTCCTTCCTCAGTTGTTTTCACTCAACACAAATGTAAATCCTGCCCCGTCACTCGTGCCGCCAACACAAGTACTGGTAAACGTCCCGGTCGGACACGTCGCCCTCGCGGCCCGGATGCATCCCTCCCACCTTCCCTTGCTGACGTTGATGGTGGCTCCTTGGTCGGCGTTCACCGCAGTGAGAGTGAACTTGCTGGTCCCCGATGCTCCGACCGTAGTGGCAGGATCGCCTTCACAGAACTGGATACTCCCGGCGATGCTGCCGCAGATCGCGAGCAGCGCGACGTTGGTGTCGTGTGTGACGAGCTCGACGGACGGGTCGTCGCACGTCGTTCCGAAGACGGCATCGGGATTGATGTTCGTGTTGGCGGGAGACCGAGCGCGGACGCGGTGTGGGGGGCTCAACGTCCCCGTGGCGACTGCGGTGGTGCTTTCGTCCGGCGAGAAGTCCCACCACAGGGGAGAGCACGTCGAGTGCGCTGTCAGTAGCAGGAAGGGGAGCAAGACTGAAGGCGAGAGAATCTGAACGAAGGTATGCATAGTTGCGGGTGGTTGATCGATGGTACGGTACGGTACGGTGTGGTATAACGTAAGTATTGAAATTGAAGGAATGAGTGACTTGGTGAGTTTCCCTTTTTCCGTCCAGCGGGCTGAGCTATGAGGCAGCCTGTGGTAATTCGCAACGCATGTAGAGCACATAAGTAAACCTACCTGGGAAGGGACAGACCCCAAGATATACCTGTCCTTGTTCAGGGTCCGTGCCTGCGTGTTGCGGCATTTCCAGCAAACCACCTCGGGTGAGAAACTGGCTTATGCTCGACCCCTCGTGGCCCTGGATGACTTGGAGACACCGATCTGAGCCTGTAACGACCAGGGTTGGCGAGTAGAGAGCCTGAAAAGGACAAGCTTGTACGACCGTTGTGCCGTGCATGATATGTTCACGCACTCATGGTATGACTTCATCTTCGTGCGACGGCAGGCAATTTGCTGGAGCGTGTCAGAGGCGATGGTTGAGGCTGGAAGTGTCACAGAAGAGTTTGACGAGACTCGTAGCTTCAGCCAAGCGCGCCAAGAGTAGTCTAGACCGCCTCTGGACTAGGCTACCAAGGTGGATCAGTGAAGCATCTAGTGCGTCATTACGGCGAAGTAACGGAACACCGTGTGCATCGCAGTTAACAAGCATTCGCAGCGGTCCTCGAACCGTCCGTAACCAAGCACGACATACTCCGTACGATGCCACATATTTGTTGCAGAACTGCCTCTACAAACAGCTTGAACTGGCAACAATCAGATCACGGCAAGTTCAAATCGCCCTCTGGCGCCTCCCAATCCTCTTGGAGAAATAACGATCAGCATCGCGTTGCCCATGATGTCAAATCACGACTGTTCAGTGATTGAGAGGCAGAAACGAAGCGTTGTTGAGCCCTAATTAATAGATATTCACGGCGACGACCATCCGAGCGCTGATAGGACTTTCGACAGGGTAGATGTATACCTATCAGACTATGGGCTTGTTTGCGGAGGGCCATATATGCATGTGAATATGTTGACCATCTGCTTTTTTTACACGGGGGTGTGCTCTTCTTATATACGCTCAGAAATGCCTGTTGACAGTGCATAAGACATGATTGGAGGTGCCGTTCCGGGCCCTCTCGCACAAGGCTCAATGCCGAGCGGACACCGTTGCCAGAAGGCTGACTTCTTCCGGCTAGGCGTTGCCACTTTTTTGCTACGCCGTCTGGTGTTGCATTTGCCTCTTATGGTGTCGTCGGGCTACCCAGAATAATGATGGTGGTGGCAATGGCAGGGTGTCCTTCGGCGCCGACGTTGCTATCTCTTCTGTTGTGGCCATGCCGTTGTGTTCGCTGTCAGACCATCTCTTATACCTCGGCGCCTGGTTCGACAACAACAACAATGCCCCGCCAAGATGTCCAACTTCAGATAGAAAAGTGACACGATCTTGTTGCCGAACTGGTGGGTGATGTCATGGATGGAAACATCATCGACGGTAAGCAGCTTGTGCTTGATGATGTCCCGATGTTCTGCGGAGTATGGCAGCTTCTTCCATTCTTGAAGGGGGTCTTCGTGCCTAACTTGGGCTGGTCTGGGTGGACGTTCAGTTTCTACTTCCAAATCAGATGTACGACTGAAACAAAGCGAAAGCGGATGCTTTCCCGCCATGCAAGTCTACGTGCTTGCTCGTCTGCGTCGTGTTCTGCATCCCGGTAAATTCCCAGCAAGTCAATAGTGTCTGCGAGCTTTGCAAACACCGCCATAGTGTCATGAATCGCATGTCTCGGGTTCATAACAAGCATGTAAGTCAAGGGGGCCAAGACTCCAGCATAAAGTGCTCGGATATTCAGTCTTTTGGGGTAATCCCCAAGCGGCTCTGGGACTTCTCCTTGACACTCTTTGAACTCGGCGGCACTTGGCGACAGATCTGACCGTCTCATTTCAACCTCTCTCGCCAGCGCTCGACATGAGGTTCGAAAAAATCTCGTGCCGCCGACGTTTTGGTGTCCGAGTGTGATGTCGTGGTAGGGTGGTTGCGGAATCACCTTGTCGGAGAAGGTCTTGAGGATAGAGGAGACTCAGATTATGTCGTGATAAATTGAGAAATAACCCTTTTGGAGACCATGGGCCGTGTTGGGGCGAAATGCCAAAGCAAGTGAGACATAGAAGATAGAGATGGTGGTGAGAGGTGAAAGGCGATGAGGGAGGAAGACCAACTTCGAGCTGAGGGAAGAAGAATAGGGTTATGCAAAGATGGGACCAGAGATGGATAATGAGAGGGACCTTCACTGAAGTTCAGTTGATTGCACAGTGACATTCGATATGGTCAACTCAACTCATCTGCTCGTCATTGAACTGCCAATGAGCCGATCGACCCTAACAAGATGACCGTGTACTGACCCCAGCTTAGTTGATCGGTGTGGGAAAAGGAAGAGAGAGGTAAACGGTGTAGTGAGTGGATAGATTACTGCTTTGGTGGTTGCGAGAGGGTGGTGCAACCGCTATCTGGATCAGTGGAACATCAAATGCGCGGAAGAACTGTCCATTACGCAGATAAGCGGATTGGGCTCTCCTCAAGAGCCACTCACCGGTGGTGAGAGCGGAAGAGTTTTCTATACCTACAATCTAAAGCCCATGAGGAGCTTGTCACAGCCCGGACAGGATTCCAGCTCGTGGTGCTGATGGAATGTAATAGAGGCACCAGAGGTCCAAGCTTCCTCTTCAGCCGCCTCTGCTGTTTCGCATTGGGACAAGAGCCAAAGAGAGTTAGTTAAAGCTGCCACCGGGCCCTCGGCCAAGAAAGACAATCACTTCTAGATGACACGAGCCTCACTTCTAGATTCACCTCTGAATGGCATGAGCTTCACCTCAGGATGATGCGAGCTTCACGCAACTTATCTCTTCAGCTTCCATTATGGGTACAACTTCGATCTCAAACCACGGAGTTGGGACCACAATCTTCGCAGATCACTCTAGCAGCAGCCTTTGCTGTCTGCTTTGAGCTTTGACGTGCATTCCCATTTTGGCTTACCTGTATCATCGAAGTTTCTCACCTGCCTATCACTTGGCCCATCAAACGTTATGCGTCGGGGAGGTCTTTTCTTTAACGCTGGCCTAGAAGATCGAATTCAGATCCTCGAGACTTCTACGACAGAGCCGGGAGATCCTTTCGTCATCGCAGAGTCATCGCTGCTGCGCCTCTGTCGAGAGAGTCGGGTGGTCATAGTCCGCTCCATGCTGATATACTTTATAGCTTTCCCTGAACCCAAGCGTGCCATGGAATTCTCTTCCACGCCATTCGCTCAAGCTAGATGACGTCCAAGATGCCCTCGACCGTCCTCCAAGCCACACAGCTCGGTCCAAGACACAGCACCGACAAGTCAGATGTCCAGGCGACTTTCTCGGAGGTTCTCGTCCACGACACTGGGCACCACGCGCGACAGCCGTCAACACAACCCGATGGCTTCCAACTCCACCCCAGGCGCGACTGGCTTGTACGGCAATACTACCACGTTCAGCGCTGGGCAAAGATTGTCTCGGCAGTCTCCAATATCATTCCCGGGCGCTTATCTGCCGTCATCGAGACTATCATGATGTACGTGCTCTACAAGTTCTACTCCACAAAGGGTATATACATGGAAGATCGACCATGGGGACCCTGGGCCAAAGACAGCGTGGTGTGGCCAACTTTCATGTTCGCTGTCGCGTCCACCATCACATCGGTCATAGCTCTGGCCGCACTTACGGCGCTGTGCTGGCGGTTCAAGAGTAGGGTTGCATCTTTCAGCTTGATTTATGTGGCCGTACACACTATCACCTGGGTCATTGTTGCTATTGTGTACAAGGCGGAGAAGACGGAGAAAGTCTTATGTGGCCGGAGTTGTACCGACAAGGCCAGGGCAATTCATCAACAGATCGACGGGCAAGGTAAGCTAGGCCTCGGGAAGGCTTTCAGTGGCGCACGAGTGCCGTATCGCCCATCGATTACTGATGCTTTCCTGCTAGAGATCATCGTGGGTCCTCTCCATTACCCATATCGTTACCAGGATCCTTACAAGCACGGTGTCATGGTATCTCGACCGCGAACAAACTGGCTTGAAGTCCAAGATCGCCCTCGAAGTGGGTTCGGTCACCTTTGATCAACTGACGGGTTGAGATGCGTTCCCGTCTACCAAAAGAGGGTGTGAATGAAAAGCGACATCTGGTCCGGTTTCTACTGAGATGTAATACGACGCGGTGCGGTGCTGGAGCGCCGATACAACCGTCCTGATGATACGCGACTGTCAATTCTCAACATGTCGAGGAAGGCATTCGGTGAATGTGTTGTTCAGAGGAGGGCTCTACTGCACCAATAGGAACGATACGCGGTACAAGCTTTCCGCTCATCAAAGGGCTCGCTGGGTCCTCATACATATATTGTTCACGGCTCTGGCTTCGATAACGTTAGGATCGTCGTCCTCGGCGAGGTGTTGCCGAATACGCGCCTGCTTGGAAACACCCGTCGGTAAATGTCAGCATAACGTTACGCGCCTGCCCAGATAGCCTCGACATAGCCGGTGGTTTGAGAGCTCTACAAATGCGACGCGACAAGACCCTACAGGCTGTTATTCCTCTCCTCCTGGTACGAGTCGACTCCCCGCGACAAGGAGAAGGAGGCCCAGGTAGCGTGACCTTTAGCTTTGGCTCTACCCTCAACAGCTCAGCATCATCAACATCAGCATCACCAGCATCAGCATGCCCCTTAAGCTCTACGCCTCGCCACTCTCGTGGAACTGTCTACGGCCTGAACTAGTCCTCGCCGAGAAAGGCGCCACGGACGTGGTCCGCATTCCGGCCGACCTCATTCGCGGCACACATAAGGTGAGCGCGCTTAGCCGACCCGGCGCATGGCCGGGTATACCGGGCCTGAATGAATGATGCAAAACTTCTGACGCACCAATCATACCCAGACGGCCGGCTTTGTCGAAAAGTCCCTCTTCGGCAAAGTGCCGTTGCTTGAGGATGATAGCGTTGGTGGTATAGGTGACGGTGCTGCTGGTCTCGTGCTCTTCGAATCCCGCGCCATCTCCCGCTATCTCTGCGAAAAGTACGCTGGCGTGGGTCCGAGGTTGATTCCTCCTTTCGCGGGCGAGGGTCAGGATTCGGATCACGACCGGACTCGAGCCCTCGCATCTCGAGCGATCTGGGAAATGCGTCTCGCGGTCGAGCCCATCGAGTTCGACGTGCACGTCACCCCGGTCATCAGCGAGATGATCATTGCGCCGTGAGTTGGCCCACCTGCATATTATAGTCTCCAGTATGGTTTGGTTAGTGAGAGACAAGCTGAAAATAAACAGCGCGCTGGGAAAACCGTCGGACGAAGCGGTCCTCGCTCGCCACCGGCCTAAACTCGACAACTGTCTGGATGTGCTGGACAAGGCGTTGGCCACGATGCCATTCATGGGTGGTGAGGAGTTCAGTCTCGTAGACATTGTGTACATGCCGTGCATATGCGTGGGGAGTAAGTGCGTGGATGTCTTTTCTGGGCGGCCGAACCTGGCGCACTGGTGGGAGAGGGTTAGTGCAAGGGAAGGATGGAAGAAGGCTGTCAAGCCGATGGATGAGGCCTGGGAACGGGTTGTGCCGGGATGGAAGGGCCAGAGTGCAGGTTTGGCTGGTGATGGAAAAGGGGGTGATGGAGACAACAGGGCTCATCTCTGAGGTCTCGGGCTCGGGACTTAGGACTCATGAGAAGGGGGCTTGTTAAAGGTTTGTGGTATGCTGGCAGATGGCCGGTCGAGTCGCCAAATGACTTGACATTCGATTTCCCAGGACTGCTCTGCTGGCTGCTTGGCGAGCAAGCACCATGTTCCAAAAGTGTAGACAGTACAAGGTCTCCATGCTTTTGGATTGGATTCGATACTCAGAGCCAGCCTTGGGAGCGTAGCACACGATATCCTTTATTTGTGAGCTCGTTGGCGTGCCGGTACAGAGTAGAGAGGATGGTGAAGACAGATCGAGCCCCCGCCAGCCTACTCTAGATACTATAGACTCCAACTCTCATTTATCCTCGAGATGCCCTACACCACGCCACATCCCGCTTCCAGGGAATAAGCGGAAGAATCCAAAAGACTCATCGAATAGATAACCATGCAAAAGCAAAGTTCCAAGTAGGATCTTCCTTCTGCCCGGTTCTCCGTCATGGCCGTGAGAATAAATCTCCCCTATGCTAAGTGCCTCTTTCTCAATCAGGCAATTCGCAACACCAAGACGTAGAGTAATCCAAAAACCTCGGCTTCAGAACCTTAATTACAAACAGGCGCGAAGCTTATGCTTAACCGGCGCCACCACTGACTGTTACGGCCGGTCTGGGACGATAGTGTGAATCAGACGACGTCGCTCTTGGTACATGAGTGCGATAATGGTCTTGACTCAGGAGATCCAGGCTAGCTTAGCTTAATTTCGTGGTGCTTTTTCCCAAGGCGGTTATTGACGACTGGGATTACGCATATGGCTTGCATATGGCTTGCCCCAGGGGATCGGCGCACTATTGCTGCTTAGAAACCAGACCATTCGGCGTGAATATTCTGGTTGCGCCAAAGGGGTGGAGTACTACGTAGGATGCAATGGGACCGAGGGAGGGAAGAAGTGCAGAATGACAGGGAAGGGAGAGGAAAGAACAATAGCACCAAAGCAGGTGAGGTAAGTTAAGGTAAGGTAGGGTATGGCCCCGGTGAGTAAACATCCAAACAGGCAAACCATGCAGGGGATTATTCAGGAATCACCAGTCGAGGATGTATATAGAGAAGGACGTACGCACACAGCACAGGGTATATTCAAGCCAGAACATCAAGAACAAGAACAGCGAGTCATAGGAACAACCACACTCACGCTCACCCACGATGTCAGCAAACCACTTCCAGAACGTCACAGTCTTTGGTGTAAGTCATGACTCACCCACACACTCATCTATACCCTCCGTGCACAACGAGTCCAAACAACAGCTGATTGGAATCCTCACCCGCCCTAGGCCGGCGGCACCAACATCGGCCATCACATCGTCAAAGCCCTATCCTCCAAACCCGACCTCTTCACCGTGACCATCCTCGCGCGACGGTCCTCCAAGTCCACATTCCCTGCCGGCGTCCAGGTGAAGTACATCGACGACTCACTCCTACACGACGAGCTGGTCGCCGCCCTACAGGGCCAAGACGTGGTCATCTCAGCCATTGGCTTCGGCGCGATCGCGCTCGAGAGGAAACTCATCGACGCGGCCGCCGACGCGCACGTCAAGCGCTTCTTCCCCTCCGAGTACGGCGTCAACAACACGCACGCAGCCGCCCGCGCTCTGTGCCCGGTCTTTGAGTCCAAGGGTGCGATCATCGACTACCTGGCGGAAAAGCACCGCGTGGCTGCACCGCATCTGACGTGGACGGCCGTGCCCACGGGCCTGTGGCTCGACTGGGCGCTCGAGCCGGCCATTGCGTTCGCGGGCATCGACATCACGCACCACACCGCCGCGCTGTGGGCTGGGGGTGAGCACCGGTTATCGTGGTCGACGCTGCCGTGGGCCGCCGAGGGGATATCGCGCATGTTGCTCGCCCCGCCCGAGGTCACGGCCAACAAGGTCGTGCCGCTGCATGGGTTCCTGGCGTCGCAGAATGAGATAGTTGCGCTATTGGAGGAGATGCAGGGCGTCAAGTATGCAATCTCCAGGCTGGACGAGGGGGCCGTCGTCGCTGCGGCGCGGCAGTCGTGGGATCACAACAGGGACGTCAAGTCCGCGCTGGATTTGGTCAAGGCGGGATTCTTCCTCGATGGGTATGGTAGTGATTTGGTCAGTGGGGGGATCACAGCGCTTGGGAATGATGTTCTGGATTTGTCGCCATTGAGGTTGGAGGTCGTGGTCAAGGCAGTGGTGGAGAGGTGGGCGTCGTAGGTATGTATGTGTAGGTATATATACTAGGCGGTCACTCTACCCTACTCTGCTCGACTCGGCTCAGCTCTGCGACTCGGAGCAATGTGTAGGTCGTGCGGAGGCGAGACGTATAATACATAGCTTCTGTAATGTCCGCAGTCAACAGGGAGAGCAAGCGTCACAATGACAGCTTAAAGGGCTGCGATGCCCTCATTCTTGTGTACTTGTCTAGAGAACTAAAGAGAAGGAAGAAGGACAGAGAGGGTGATAAGGACTGGAAGAGTGCCAAATGGCACCAGTCCCAGTCGGGCCTAGTGCCGTCATGTGACAAGATGATATTACACAGATCAGGCGGATTGTGCGAAGTAGTAGGATCCATTTCGATGAGTCGTCGGTTCAAGCGACGGTCGTCTGGTCATGCTGATTTCAATTCAGGGAGCTTGATATTGCTGGTACATGCCGCTTTCAATGCGCCGGGGAAATCGCCAACGCTCACGACGACGCTAAGTCGTCCACTGTCCATAACTAAAACTGCTTCATCATCAACCAGGACGCTCCCAGACCGTCATGTACTGACTCCTTCCACATCCACATCCACGTCGACATTGACATTGACGGTGCGAGCTACTACTGTACCGGCACTCCGTCATCATCACGCAGCTTTCTCCTCGTGCAACACGCTCCCGGATCTCTTCAGCTCCACCTCGTGGGCAATCTCATTCACCCTGTTCTCCAAGTCATGACTGGCGTAGCTGTCCTTGGTTGTGCCCACGACAATCCACGGAGCGGAATTGAAAAGGTAATTCATCTCCTCGAGAGGTCGACGCGCCGTCTCGGGCAGGAGTAGCCAGAAGAAGATGGCGTTGGTGAAGTTGCAGATGATGAACACGAAGTAGAACTTGTATCCAATATTACTCATTGCAATGGGCGTGACTTGTCCCTACTCGTGTTTCGTGGTTAGCATGTGCATAAAAGGAAGGTCGACTGAGTCAATGTCTGCCGGGCAACAAGCGGGCAGGGAGGACACCAGACGTACAATCATGGTGTTGAAGGCAAAGCTCGTCATGGTCGCGATCGAAACGCCTTTACTCCTAGTGGTAGTGTCAAACACTTCGGCCGGGATGATCCAACTGAGCGGTCCGCAGGTGCAGCTGAAGCTGAAGTTGTAAAGCCACGTCATGACGATGAAGCCCCATTGAGCGCCCGTATTCGTCGACACACCCGGCGGAAACTTGGCCAGCAGGATGGTGGCGATGATGAAGGTCACCATGTTCCCTAGGTTGCCGTAGATCAGGGGCCAGCGGCGGCCGGTGCGATCAATGAAGAGGATGGTGCAGAACTGGGCGACTAGCGCGATGATGCTGTTGATGCCCTGGTATTTGAGCGTGTCTTGGCCCGAGATGCCGATCTGCCCGTAGATGGTGACCGAGTAGTACTGGATGGCCGACACGCCCGTCATCTGGATGCTGGCCTGGAGGGCGCAGCAGAGGAAGAGGCGACGGAACGCAGATTTCGACCGGAAGAGCTCGAGGTAGGATTTGGCTTCATGTTCATGCTCGTACGCAATCGATGCTTGCACTTGCTCGAATTCCGCCATGACCCAGGGGTCCTGCTCGTTGCCGTGGGCGTGCAGCTTCGCGAGGGTTTTGAGAGCTTCGTCCGGCTTGCCGTGGTCCATGAGCCATCTGTTGGAAGGAGAAACACGTCACATTAGCGAACGGCGAGGTAAACGGGTACATATGCCTACCTTGGAGACTCGGGAAACAAGAAGATCAACAAGCCGAGAAAGACGGCCGGCACGATCTGAAGGCCCAGGGGTACTCGCCATTGCGCGCTGTTGTCTTTGATATGGACGTATGTCGCCCAAGAGATCCACGAGGCCACGAGGGCACCCACACCCAACATGAACTGCTGCAAGGCTGTGATTCGGCCTCGAATGCTCGGGTGAGCCAGTTCGGCCTGGTAGAGCGGCACAATCATGACGAGGAAGCCGACACCGAGTCCGGCAAGGAAACGGCCTGACCAGAGGTAGCTGATGTTCTCTGCACCGGTCTGCAGGCCACCGCCCAGGCAGAAGATCAGGGCTCCTACGGTAATGGTCCATCGACGGCCCAAATAATCACCGCAAGGACCAGCTAGGAGCGCCCCGAAAAATGCTCCTGTGGTGAACATGCTGACGACCAGGCCTGACTCTGTGTCGGTGGGTGAGAACTTCTCGATGAAGGTGTTGCTGGCGACGACTTCGGCGATCACACCTAGATCGTAGCCAAACAGGTACGACCCAAGCGAGGCGAACACGCCGACGAGGAACTGGTACCATTTCGGAGGCAGAGGCATGGTGAATGATGCAAGGGACTGTAGGAGGGAGAAAGGACAACGTGGGTTGAGTGTCTGCGAGGTCGTAAAGAAGACGACGCTGGACGGGCGATTGGGAGATGGCAACGAGAGAGCGACAAGCTCGACCTCGACCGCGCAATATATGACTGTGGATCCTGTCCCCAGAGCCCTGGCCGGAGCTACTCACATCGTGGTCTCGTGGTGCTTCGCATGATCCCGCAGTTTTGCCTTATTCGCGAAGGGGTGGAAGAGCCAGATCCCCGCAAAACAGCCACCGCGTGAGAATTGCGGAGGGTTCCATGGGCGCCGTTGGAAAGGCCCAATGCTTGATCGCGTTCTGCCATCGCTACGACAGGTCGAAGCCCGCCAGTAGATTGGCCGGGGCTTACACCGTCCCTCCGCTATTTGACAAAACGGGACAAATCCCGGTGCCGGCGGCGCGCAGGATTTTCTCCTATCCCGACCTCCTGCCTTTACCGTCGCTGATGCCATGGCCTCTGAGTGGTATGTGAGCGTGATGGGTCTGTTCAAGCAGTTTCTCGTGTGGATCTGGTTGGTTCGAGTCTCGGTTGACCACCGGCAGGTCTCCGTGATATGACACGATCCTCTTAAATCTCGTCATGGACTCCTTCGTACTGATCCGGACCTCTTCTTCAGGACAAACATCGGCGGAGGTTCTGAGCTGTCGGCAAGCTAGGCGCCCTATAGAATTGTGGCTGGTCAAAGTGGCGAGTCTGTACAGGAGTCAAGAGTGATCAAGCAGTCGCCAGGAACAGCGAGGTACGTACCTCGTCACGTGCCGGGAGAGCGCTACCATCAACCACTTTACCATCCGCCCGAAGTTTGAGTGCTGGAGGTCTTTTTGAGAGTGAGGTCTCTACAGTCGAAAGTGTCTCGCCGCCAACATGACGACTCCCGTCGCCGGCGCTGCAGCGCCGTCAGTCACCGTCTTCCCCAACCACAAGCTCAACCCTATCAATCGCAACATATACTCCGGCTTCACAGAGCACATGGGCCGCTGCATCTACGGAGGAATCTACGACCCGTCTAACGCGAACAAAGACCTCGTCGACGCCCACGGGTTCCGCAAAGACGTCATCGAAGCCCTCAAGCCGCTGGACGTCCCCGTGTTTCGCTACCCGGGCGGAAACTTCTGCGCGACGTACCACTGGCAGGACGGCATCGGACCAAGAGACCAACGCCCCGCCAGGCCAGAACTCGCCTGGGACAATATCGAGACCAACCAATTCGGCACCGACGAGTTCATGACCTGGTGCAAGGCCGTGGGCGCAGAACCGTACCTATGTCTGAACTTCGGCACGGGGACGCTCGACGAAGCCATGGCCTGGGTGGAGTACTGCAACAGCACGAAGAACACGTACTACGCAAACCTGAGGCGGAAGAACGGCCACCCGGATCCGTACAAGGTCAAGTACTGGGCGTTGGGTAACGAGGTCTGGGGCCCCTGGCAAGTAAACCAGATGACGCAGGAGGCGTACGCGGAGCGAGCCCTGCAGTGGGCAAAGGCCTTGAAGCTGCTCGACCCAAGCATCCAACTCATCTTGTGTGGCAAGGAGGGCGCCACCTCCTGGGACTATTACACGCTGAAGCACTGTCTTCAGCCGGTGAGGTTGAGCGATCTGGCCGAGAAGCGCCAGCCGCTCATCGACATGCATAGTATCCACTTGTACACGGCGAGTGAAGACCACTATGAGAACGTCACGGCGCCGTTGGCCGCCGAGAGGGCCATCGAGGTCTGTTCGTCGTTGATCGACTTGGCGTCCGTGGAGAACAAGATCCCGCCCACGCAGAAACGGCCGACGATATGTTTCGACGAGTGGAACGTCTGGCTCCCCACGCGGGCCGTCGGGAGTAAAGGTGCGGAGGAGACGTACACTCTCTCCGACGCGCTGGCCGTGGCGTCTTGGTTGAATGTACTCGTCCGTAAGTCCAAGGACGTGGGGATGGCCAACATCGCGCAGAGCGTCAATGTCATTAGCCCGCTCATGACGACGCAGGACGGCATCATCAAGCAGACGACGTGGTGGCCGTACGAGCTATTCTGCCGGTTCATGAAAGGACATCAGATCGCCGTGCACGTGGCTTGCGAGCACTACACGGGCCCGACCAAGCCGGAGTGGGTGAGGGCAGTCAAGGACACGCCGTATTTGGATGTCAGTGCGACGCTCGACGAGGAGGGCTGGGTCAGCGTCTGTGTAGTCAACATCCATGCAGAGGACGATCTGAAGACAGATTTTGGAGGTGTGCGTGACTCCACTGTTGACGTCTACACAGTCACAGGAGCGAACCTGAAAGTAACAAACATGAGCGGTAAGGAGGAGGTCGGGCTGAAGAAGTCGACATGGGCTCCGAAGGAGGATGGTTCTGCTTTCGTCTTTCCGAGAAGTTCCATCACTATGCTGAGATGGAAGAGCTCGTAGCCGCATCACCCTGCCGCGATATTCGTGCGGTTCAATGCATGGCCACTCCTTATACTGGAAGCACGAACCTGGTGGATGGCGTGCCAGCTCGCTCGTGAGATGCAAGATTAGGGCGATATACACAGCTTGGAAAGCTTGTCAGAAAAATATAGACTTCAAGAGAAAAATATACAGGTAAAGCACTGCCTTGGTGTCGTACTGCCCAGCTCGTTGTCAAGTCGCTTTTCTGAGTTCCGCCAACTTCATCAATATATCGTAGTACTCTCGACTGACGCCCCAACATGCCAACTTTGTTCTCAGCAATTTAGCCCCTTCAAGCAAGACCTTGTGTGGAGTTGTGCAGATGTCCCCCACGTTGGTCATGTGGCCGGACATGTTGTGGCCGTTGCGAACGAAATGTTGCACCATCTCATCGTCACACGGTCGGTCTAAGTGGATGAATTCGGGTTGTTCGTCGGAGGATGATGACGATGCATCATCATCGTCGTCACTCGCAGACTCAGGGATGGGTGCCGGGGGAGACGCCGCTGTACCCTCCTTCTTGGCCGGCGTGGCATCAGTCCCAGAGTGCGACAGCGCGGAGCTAGATGGGGTCATTGTTGAGGTGGACACACTGTCAGGCCGATTGGCCGCCTTGCTCATGAATTTGATGGGATGCTCCTTCCTTTCCATACGAGATGGCTGTACAGGAGCACTTGCATCTGGGCCACTGGGACCGCCCTCGGGCCTGTTGTTGGCCGCGGCTGCATCACGATCCAAGGCAGCAGACTTGTACGAGGCATAGGTCCACAAGCTTAAGCTCGCCAGGTAAACGGCCAAGGGCTCGAAGAAGCTCATTGCAGAGTATCGCCGGACATACCAGAACACCGAACCGGCGTGAACCATTGCCAGACGGGCTTTGTGCTGGTCCTCCCGCAGCCATCGCCACGTGATCTTACGGATCTGAGGCAGCTTTGCGCTGTTTCGGGGTTGATAGCTACCGTCATGGACGTAGAAGGATGCCTTTGGAGAGTTGCCAACTTTGCCGACAAGGGAGAACAGCAAATCCTGAATCTCTTGAAACGGCGTGAGGAGCACAATCCGTGCAAGATGAAGATGGAGGATGAGAGGATGCTCTATGCCCGATGCCTTCGCAACCACGCTCGAGGCCTGCCAGTGGATGACGTCGAGACAGTCGCACGCGCTATTGCGCCAATTGGCGTAGAGTGGGTAAAGTGGAAGCCAAAAGTTGTCCTTGGATGGTGTGTTCAAGAAACCCCTGGCTTTCCCAGTAGGAACCCATTCGCTAAGCGGCTGCTTGATATGAGTTCCCACTTCCCAAGTGCGCTGATAGAGTGCGTGGATGATCAGAACTTGCGACAAGTCACTGTAAGAGGGTTCCACCTTCTTGCTATTGTATAAATTTTCGAGCGCAACACAGAGCGATGGTGTCTCGGGTATGTCATGTGCAATAGTAGCCCAGGTTTCTGCGCTCGAGGCATTCCAGGGGGTTTCAGGACATGGTAAAGGTGTCCTTGCGTCGTCCATATTACAGAGCGGTCGAGCGTTTGCCATGTAGCCCAGCGCGCAATCTAGCATCCAACAGAGATAACCGATTCGACGCAAGGACTCGGCTTTGATCCATACCCGCCAGCGCTGTGACACGTTGTCAAAGGCCTCGGAGGTCGCTTGGCTAGCACCGGTCGCTGATAGCTGCAGGACTCCAGACTCCAGGCACCAGCGTGACAGGTCTGCGTGGTAACGCGGCGCTAGCGCCCTAAGCTGCTCGCGCTCTGACTGCACAAGACCGATCAGATTCAAGATACGTGCTTGTGCAATTGAGAGCTCAAGGGAAGCATCGGGTAAACCGTCTGAATGGCGTTCGACCGCCCGACGTAAGAATTCCTGAAACGCGTCTTGGATGTCGGAAGCATATGTGGCCTTTGCGAAGGTGCTCCCGATCGTCGCGACTGCAAGAACAACTATCCAATGTGTCTCGGGCCCGAAAGAAGGTCGGTGTATTAGAGGCAAATTGTCCTGGAAGTTTCCAAAGTAGAGGGCAATGCACGTGTTGAATACCGTTGCAGGCGGGAAAGCAGGTGATTGAAATGGTGGTGGCATAGTGGTCTGCAAGCACATCTGGTGGAAATATCCTGAGACCATTTCATGCGTTTTCGCCGAGCAATACTCTGGGGCGACCTCGGAGGACATTGAGCTCCATGAGTCCATTGACTCTGGAAAGGCATACTGAGACTTTTGCTTCCGTGGATGAGCAAAGGTATCAAGCACCATGGATGATTTCCTCTTCTTGCGCTTCAAGTCTGAATTCGTGGAGATGCTATTCATCGATTGGGAGTGATATATACCGTCGCTTGCCGAGGATGCAGGGCTTTGCCCAAACACTGCTAGAGAAAGTGGAACGTTTTGTGCATCACTCGCGTGGAGCGACGTGTTTGACGGAATGTGATACGTGTGGGTGCTGGAATCGACAGGCACTGTCAAGCCATATTCGCTGTCGAAATTTGGCGTCTCTTCTAGTGTAGGGAGGATAAATGAGAAGTCTTGCTCAAGCTCGGCGTCGTACGGAGATGGATATATGCTTGGGGGGATCCAATTCAAAGGTTCATCGAATGGACTGTAATCGAACGTGCTCCGGGCTCCGGCAAATTCTGCATGGTGAGAAGGAACCATTGCGTTGTAGCCGTAATGGTCGTTCTGCATGCCCTGCGACGAAGGAGGTATGGTGTCAAGACCCACTGACTCTTCTCCAGGTTGAACTCCTGATTCCCGGTCAGTGCGATCGGGCGACAGGATTGACAACAAGCTCGACCCTGCTTGCATTTGCCCTGGTAGCGTCGCGGATGTGCCAGTGTGGGTTCCAGAGTCTGGCCGCAGCTGGGATGCACCATCTGGAGCGAAGGATATCTCACTGAACTGCCCGACAAGATGCTGCCCTGGATTTTGCTCGTTGTTGCCCCCCTCGTCGGCGGAGGAGGGCATCTTGCGGCGTTTGTTAGGGTAGACACATTCGAGACTGCGAACATTGCATCTACCGCAAGGCGATCCACCAGAGCATCTTGATCTCGCAGTCGCGCAAGCACGGCACGCTCGAAACGTCCCATTCGTCACTCGATGGACAGGGCCGCGGTCAACACTTGAATGATGGCTCTTCTCATGACGAAGCAGCGTGTCAGACCGTGCGAAGGTCTTGCCGCATGTCGAACAGGCTGCAGACCTTTCAGCAGGCCGTCCTCCTGTATTGTCCTTCATGGCCGCCAGAGACGCATGCTTGTTCCCCCATCAAAGTATTACCTTCAAGTCAACTAGTGTCCGACTGAGGAGCAAGAGCTCGGCGGCCATCCGATCCAGGCAGAGTTTAGCTTGGATCTGCTAATATGGAGAATCACGAGAAGGTTGCAAAGATGGAAACGCGGGGAAGGCGAAATCTACGCACGTGACCTTGGTCAGCCGCTAGCCCAACATAGTAACGCGCGTTGACGCGTGCGCGTGCTCGCGTGAGACGGCGTGTTTGAGTGGTCGCGTTGACCCCTCCCCACCATTCAAAAGTTACTGTATTTTCATCCCAGCGTATTTCTGCCCACCGCTCCGTACCATGCCAGACCCAACAGCCCCCCCAGAACGATGGCAGGAGCTGCAGGTACGTTAAACCAAGCTGATTCTGCATATGTCAAAACCGCGACCACAACCCACCACGGTTCCTCCGCCAGACTCTGACCTTGACTCACTTCCGGCGTGAGATAACCAATTTCCCACAACCGATATACTGCGGTGAACACGAGTCCGACTGCCGTAGCATTGACACCACGGAGGAAACTGACAACGACAGCCTTGGTTCTGAGCACTCGCCAAATGCCCTGGACGCCAACAGCAAGTGCAATACCAGGCAGAAAAATGCCAATGTACCCCATTAGTGCCCCAAGTACCGTCGGCTGGGGCGTGCCCAAAAGGGCCAAAGCCCCAAGGTAGACACCAAAATTGAAGTTGGGACCGGGAAACGCCTGTATGATGGCAAGGCCGATGAGGAAATCTCTCGAAGACACCCACCCGTACTCAACGACGTATTCGCGAAGCAGAGGGATCACGACAGGTCCGCCTCCGAAGATGATTGTTCCTGCCAGATACATGTTCGCGAAGAGATCAAGAGGTCGAGCTGGTGAGTCGAGCTGGCCACGAACCACGAGGGTCGCGATGAACGACGCTAGATGCCCGGTCAGAAAGGATCCCATACTCGAGACAGATGTTAGCTCACCGAAAAAGACCGCGATGATACAGAGACCTAGTTTGACCGAGACACTATGAGAACGCATATCGGTGGAAGGTGCTGTCACGGGTGGTGCTACGACGTTGGAAGATTCACCCTGCTTGGGTGATGCTGGGCGTTGCGACGAGGCGACTGCATCCCCAATTCTTCTCGGCACTGCCGCAGATCGCTCGTCCTGCGGCGGCCTCAACTCGATGCTTTGATCGCCCTCATTGCTGACTCCTTGTTCGGTGGTGTCTGGTCTTGATCTTCGTTGCTTCCATTTCCTCTTGATTCGAGCGAGAGTTTGCCGAAGGCGTACGTCCCACAATGCAGTGACAATACCGCCAGTGATGATGAGGGTCGGGAAATACCAGAGAGAGTTGTAACAAAGGCCCGCACAGGCACCAAAGATAACGAGGCACCTGGATAGCTTATCCTTGATCGCCTTGTCTGCAAGCTGTAAGACAATCTAGGTTAGTCGAACTACGGCTGTCCAGGGACGCGCTACGCACATTGACAGCAGCAAGAGCGACGATTCCCACGGTTGAAGCATTCAAGCCTGATAGAAAGGCATACGCTGCACCGGGCAAGACCGTGTTGATGCGTTGAACTCCGAGTGAAAGGCCGTACATGCCAATGGCACCTGGCAGGCTGCAAGAAACCCTTAACGTTGCTGTCACCATTGGTCTTCTCTGAAGCACTTACCTCCAAATGAGAAAGACGAAAACGGCTGCGATGAAACCGGCATGAATGAGAGCCATGCAGAACAGCATCTTGGTAGAGCCCGGTCCTGGCAAGGCCTGGCATATCGCGAAGAGCTCTTGATACTGCTCAAATTACGTGAGCGGCAAGTCTCAAACACCACAAGGGTTGATAGCTTAGTCCTACCGTCTGCTCGTCAATCCACGGCACACCTCCATGGCCATCGACAAATCGCCTATGCAAGATCTGAAAATGTACAGGCGGCCCCCCGAATGCTGTGAATCCCAGGTCGCATGTGCGCCAAAGCACATCAGCAAGCCTCAAGGCGAGCTTTTGATTATTGGCCTGCAGCGCATTTTGTCGATCTCGAGTATACTCGTGAATCGCCCGCAACGTTTCAAAGAATGGCATCTTTGCCCGCGTTGCAACAACTTCGTGGCACCTTCGTTGTTCAGGAGGCCAACATGAAGAACTGCTTGTGGAGAGTGACTCGGGCAATCTGATTTATGCGACATGGATTCTGACCTGCAATTGGGCTCGACCAATCAATCCACACGTGTCTGTCGCCGCCAAGCACATCTTTCGTCATGCTTGATGGAGTCCAAGAGCAACACGGATTTATTGTTTCGCACAGAATGGACGCTCGGCCGCGCTGTGGCATTGGCATCTATGCTTCATAAGGAGAGCCTCGGATTTCTCAGCCGCTCGACAGGGCGGTAATCTGACTCGCAAGCGACTGGCACAAGTCGGTCTCTCCCAGGTGTACGGAGGACTCCGTACTCGTTCTTTCTTTTGGACATATTGCAGCCTTCCGCAATCTCCTTTGCAAGGAGGTCCACGTCGCGTAAGGCCAGGCGTGTTTTGACCTAGCACTTCCGCAGCACCAGTAGCCTGCCACCCACGTCTGACGATGCTCTCACACCGACAACATCTGAGCGTAATACCCCAACCTTGCCATCAGACCGCAAGCGTTCCAGCTCGTCCTTGAACCCTCCACTTTCCCATATGTCATCCAGCACAGTAGCAACGATCACTCCACCCTTCTTCACGATCCTGACAAATTCCTCGAGCACAGGCTTTGGTCCAACGTGCCCGCGAGTCAAGGTCCCCACGCAGATGACCGCGTCTACTGAGTTATCCGATTTCGCAATCGGCTTCGAGAGATCAGCCTCCTCCAATGCGCTGTAGACGTTTGTTTTCCGAGCCACGTCGAGCATGCCTGGACTGATGTCTAAGCCGATAATGTTTCGCGCACCGAACCTCGATAGCTGGATTCCCACCAAGCCCGTTCCACATCCGGCGTCGAGTATCGAGACATTCTCTAGCTGCGTCCCGTCATCATTGGGCCGACCGCCCAATGCTCCGAAAAGGGCTTGCGCCGCGATTTGGGGGAAGGCGTAGTCTTCAGCTTCGAGGTCTTTGTCGTACTGCTTGGCCCATTCATTGTAGAGATCACGAGATTCAGCCGCAGTGGATGCCGCGTACACACGTTCCAGGAAAGGATTGACCCCCAGATGAGACGCTGCTGTCCAACTTGACATGTTTGTTATAGCAGTCCAGAGCTCCTTGACTTGCAGATGGGCTTGGGTAGATTACTCTGTTGACTTTGAACCCAGCTACCAGCACATGTGATATCTTGTTTCTTGTACCTACACCTCTAAATGACGACCTCGGCAGACTTTCAGCTTGGCTCCTCGGGCAGCTCAGCCGTTCATGAGTGAATGAAAAGTGGGGAAGTTGTTTCTGAAAAGACAGCCATTCACTTGTCTCTCACCTTCACCTCAGCAGACCTGCACCTCTTCAGTCTGCCTCACTCTTTCGTGCACACTTGTATTTCATACTTGATCACATCCAAGGACGTCTTCCCTCACTTCTTGCAGCATGTGTTGCACACAGTAGTTGACAGTATGAAGTCCGAGTCGCCTCACTCGAGCCGCGATCAGCGTGGACTTGACCAAACCGCAGATGCCCACACTCAACCAGTATATTTCCACAACTCAAACCTCTGACTATAGTACACGTGTGGACCCGATCGCGCCGAGATGACATGTTTCAAGCTTGACTGACTTACAGCGAGCTTCGCCAGACTGCGTAGGCACCCCAGCTTCATGTGTACGAAAGGTTGGCTGCGCGAGGAAATAAAAGTGTTCAGAGCCACAGGATGGCATTCCTGCACCACCACTGCTGTCCTGAGCTAATTCGACTACCAGCGCGGAACATGTGACAAGGATGTCGTCTCGTTTCTGCAGTATGCCTTCTGCATTATCCCCTCTCTTGCTATCCCGCAGCTGCAGTCGAAACAGGATTAGATTCAAGACCGCTGAAGCATCAACCACCACAGCGACATGAAACGCAGCAATTTTGCAGAGAATCCCATTGTCAGCATCTGCTGTGGTTTTTCAGGCACCAGTCCGACTGGCAGAGCGACCGTGGGTCAACATACCAGCTCGACGCACATGAACTTGACCGATGTCTTCCGATTCACAAGGCATTCATGCGAGCACGACCAGGACCAGACGGTCCAGCCACTCTGGTGCTTATTGTCCTGAAGCTTGAAGTACACACCCGCAGCAACCCAGATCGCCACACCCGCGACGGAAGAAGCGAGAACACTCCACGAAGTCGATCGGCCTGGGCAACAAGATCAGCCACTTGAAGAAATCTACAGACCCGTGGAAAACGAGACAAGACCATGTACCCACACCCCGATCTAGCGTTAACAGGGCGACTATCTGTGCGACGATCGCAATCGCCGCGACTGCCAGCATAAGCCATGTTGATATCATATCTCTTCGCGCGGGCCAGCACCACATGCGGACATCGTGCTGCTGCATGAGGACATTGTTTCTCGTCGTGTACAGCACCGCTGTCATCTGAGTCAGGACACACACATGACAGATGCCCCGAAAACGAGTTTCATGACTTTGACGACCACGCGAAGAAGGTCTGGACGGGGTGCCAGTATATTTAGCTTTGCACTGCGCGTCTGCTCGCAGCTTGAGATATTGCCACTGTTTGGCAGTGGCCGCCAATGTTGAGAAGCCACAGGAGTTCCACTGGGAGACTGGTGAGTAATTTGAGGGTGAGTCGTTGCGGAGAATGTCGACTCTCGGCTGTTCGAGCAGACAAGCCGTAACGAGAGGAGCATTTTCGGTCAGTCCGGGCGTGCAGGTCCTTTCGTCTCGTTACTAAGCAGGCTGCACCAAGGAGGGCTTGGGTGAGAGCGACTAATCAGCGCGTTCTGGGAGTTGACCGACTTCACAGATTAACAAACCAAGCCGTACTCTTTCGATCGCTCGAAGGCCTCCTGACTCCCTGAGCCTCCGGCCTACAGTCCATCGTTGAACAACGTCCTGGTAATTCCTAGATATCGGTCGCGCACACGCTAATCGACATCCAGCCTGAGCGATGACCAAGCCATCCCGAGCTGTGGCGTGCAAGCCTGAGGTCGGCTTGACGCCCCATAGGAGCTGCATAAAGTGGCGTGTGGACAAACGTGCGCCTATGAAACAATTTCATTATGTTGCTCCTAGGTTCCGGTTCACTACATAACAGAGGCCACAGAGGACTGCGAAGAGGGAGGGGCTTGATTGCACAGGCGAGTTGACAGGGGGATGAGGACCCTGCGGCAATGGCCAAGACCTGGCTTTTACCATGGGCAGCTGAAATGTCGCTGACGAGGTTCGACTTCAATAACCAAACCCCTGTCAGTACCTCGTATGCGTCCTCGACGCCTACCGCCATCAATAGCACGGCTGCCTTGCATCTGAGAAGCTGCAATCAACGTTTGAGCTGGGCAGTGTCTCGATACTTCAGTAGGCACCCTACTTCGCACACCCCCAGCGCCTAAGCGTCTATTCGCTGCACGCTTCCTCAATACGATGCCCACCAATGCCAGGACGACGCACCAAGCAACAGTCTAGTGTGGCAGCCACTACGTTCCGCGGAAAGTTCTTTCTCACGTGGAAAGCGTCATGGTCGAAGACCACTTCAGCCTGGTCGATTCAACCACATAGAATTATCTCACTCTACAGTGTGGTGAATCCTCCTTTCCACCTCTGTCGAACGACATTATATACTCCACAGACTGACTTTGGTGCCTTCCGTTTTCAACCACCAAGGACAATTTTTATTCGTTGTCTCTGTGGGACCATGTCTTGGCGGCTATCTACCATGCAGCCGCCGACTCTTGAAGTGACCCATATCAGCAACGTTCTTGCAACCGACCACAGGTCTCCCTTGTAGTCATTACTTCTGGCAGGTGCTGGTGGCGTTAGTTATGTACTGTCTTGGAATCTAATTAGTGACCAGCCTTCCCTCCATGATCAATTGTTTCTTAGGTTCATCTCACTCGCGACTCTGGTTACGACGAATCATGCATCCGTCTACCAGATCTCCGCTCACTCACACCAAGCCGCCAACTCGCCGTAGCACCCGGTCCTAGTAGGCCTGCCGTGCTGTCGAAACCACTGGGCATGACAAGTGGAGTTGCTCGTCGCATATTGTTGATATTGACTGCAAATTACTATAGGAAATTGACTTCTGCGCGATTCTCCTCTCTGCCCTTACATCATTGAAGACACGTTTAATACGACAGCTAGAGCATGGCCCTACATACATACTAGTACCAGATGTCCTCGACCAAATACATAGTAGGTGCGGTCGATCCCGGCCGTTCCCCTTCTCGGCCGACTCACCAAAACGTTCAGGTTTCTACGAAGCGTGACATGACGGAAAATGGGCCCGGTCGACCGCGAGGACGATGATGTCGCTTCAGTGGCGAGATCTCAACTATCAATGGTGTGCACACAACGCGAGGCGATCCGCAAGGCCCACGGGTTATTTCGCGTCACTTGTTTACGGGCTACAAGCTGTGCGGAGAATAAGTACTGTACTAGTACTAGAAGTCTACTGAGATGTATAGTACAACACACAAGTCCTTTACTAGAGTAGGATCGCGACGTCTATCCTGGTCCAGACCGCCGACAACAAAATCAACGTCTGTCCTCTTTCGAATAGAGCTGCCAACACCATTGCATACAGTTTCTCACACAAAAGTGACTCAGTAAACTGTACTTACATCACGCACGCTCCTTGTAAATTTTCAGTATATTTGTTAGTACTGTACTTTAATGATCCAGTGGGTGATATATACCAAGTCAAGTACTGTACTTTTCTGATGCAGTCAGTGATGCCCTTTGATTCCTGTGATGCTGTTCTAATCCTGTGATCTTGTTCTGATACTGCGATGCTGTTCTGATCCTTGGATCTTGTTCTGATACTGCCATGCTGTTCTGACACTACTACGATCCTTTTCTGACACTACTATGATCCGACTCTAATACTATACAGTACTACAATCCTCTTCTAACACTACGAGTACTGTGATGTTGTTCTGATACTCCTGTAATCCTGCCCTGATCCTGCATGATCCTCCTCTGATACTTCGATGCTGTTCTTATACTACGACGCTAGTAGCAACGCGAAGGACGAATTTCGCCTAAACAGGTTAGAGTACTTATACTATGTATAAGTACTGTATACTAGCTCTTTCCTAGGCAGAGACGTGGTAAAATTCAGGTTCATCTCAGGAAGTCGCATCAATAAATTGGCGCCACATTCTCGGTTTAGTCAAGTTCATCAGTCAATAAATACTATGTACAGCTCCGCACTGCTTGGAAAGCTCAGTCTCATCAAACGATATGTACTGTACTGTAATAACCCGAACCTCTATCAGGTCTTCGATGCTCTCTCTCACTCGAGTTACTAATATGTCCTGTATGTCTTGCTTCTTCCCTTCTCCCATACTTCATAGTATGTACGTGAGCAAAGTCGTCTCCATCGTACTACTATGTACTGTAGTACTTACTTAGTACATACTCTCCTGTAGCTCCCGCTTCCTCACGTATCAGCCAGGCGTTCCTTCCGGATTCTTCTCCTCGCTTCCTTCTTGCACGGCTGACAATACACCACTCCACAGCCATGCCGACATTCGACGGCGCGCTGCGATTTCAGACCAGTACTGCCCTCTTTTAATTTCTTCAGCCTGGCTTCTGCATTGTCACCTTCATCGTCTGCGTCCGGAGTCTTCCACTTTTCCAACTTCTGCTTCAATGCCTCCTTCTCGAGCTGTGCCACGTCGGTGGTGCAGAATTTCAGGCGGAAAGCCTCCAGCTCGGCATCGTCATCCCACACTTTTGTCTTTTTGAAGCAACCCATGCATTCGATTTCCAAGCTAGGATCGGTTGCAGGACGTACGCCAACCAGCCAAAATTCAGGGATCCGGTTCTTGTCAAAGTCGTAGAAATGGTGCCGGCATCCCCATGTATCAGTCGACTCATCCAAGGGCTCGTCTCCGAAATCCAGGTCCCTGCCCTCCCAGTCAAATTCGTCAGGGTCGTCTAGATTCTCGACACGTTGAGTTTGCTCAGTAGCAGCTGCAGTAGGGACGGTACTAGTAGTTTCAGACACAGGTCCAGCACTAGCTGGCAGGGATGGAGGGAGAATATCGAGTTGTTGCGTTGCAGCAGCTTCCTGAGTTGCACCACCATCATCGCGTTGGTCGTTTGATGTCTCCGGGCGCGATACGGTTAGTGGCTCAGACTGACCGGTGATGAGTGCTTCCAAGTCACTCGGTGGCATCTGCGTGTCGCTTCTTGTCAGCGTTCGTCCCGGCTCGTTCATCCCCGACTCATGTATGGAGGGTATGACTGGCGCTGTAGAAGGTCCCGGACCGTTGCCAGGGTCGATGCTGTGTGCTGTGCCACTGGAGCCTAGTCCCTGTCCGGTTCGGAGAGTGTGGAGAGCATCTGCGACTTCACGTTCAACTTCTGAGTGAGAGGCCTGGATATTCGCTGCCGGTTCCGTCGCCACCGGAGCCGCTGTCACAGCCGTGGTCGCCGGGATCTCCTCATCTGACTCGAATTCCTCACCAACTCCATCAGAATAATTCCCTTCATTTCTTGCAGCACGGCAAGGCTTCTGGTAGCAAGCATTCATGGGTCGCTGACAGTCCCAGCACCAGTGGGCACCGCACTGACATCTCACATGAGGGCATCCATCTGCGAATGAAATTAGCACGTCTTGCATCAAGGATAACAAAAGCAAATTCGGCAGTGGGACAAATCCAGCGGGGAGATAGGTGCGCAGAGGACTTACACATCTTCATGACACCAGTACCACATCGCGGGCAGAGCTTGTAGTGGAAGGTCTCCAGGATGAATTTTCTGGGATCTTCCACGTCGCAGGTATGCCCGTCTCGCGCGTACAGCTTGCACTTCGTACAGACAACGGTGTTGCAGACGTGACATGAGACCTTGGTCTCGTTTTGGTTGAACATCCGAGGAGGGAGAAAGGCTGAGCAGGTAGGAACAGGGCAGTAGAGGGGATCTACCGTGTTCATGCGTTCGTCGTACTTTTGCTTGTACTCCTCGATCTCTGCTGGTGACAGAATTCCTCTCGCCACGTCGTGGTGCATGACCGAGCCACAGCATGTAACAGGCATTCGGTTGATGTCCTTGACGGCAGTTTTGAAGCGGGTTGCAACACAATCGTAGCATTCGGGTCCCTTGCAGCGCCGGCACGGTGTGGAGTAGAGGCCCTCTAGATGGCTGAAGCAGATTCTGCAGGTGATTTTCTTGTCGGCGGGAGGTTGTTCTTTCTTCAGGCGTTTGCGTGGCGGAGAGATGTCTGCATCTGGATAAGGCGTCTGTGGAGCCCGTTCAGTGTCGGTTCGGGACTCTGCAGAATCGCCGTCATAGTGTTCAGGGCGGTACTGGGACTCTCCGATTGTGATCATAGGGTGGTTGAGCAGTGCAGTCATCGCATCGGCGGCAGTGCTGAATGTGTAGACCAAGTCACGGCGAGCAGGTCCGTTGTCCTGACCGGTCGCCGGTTGGATCAACCTGAGACCAACGTAGCCTTCGGAGTTGTAGAAGACTTGATCGACCTCGGCGAGGGGACGGTTGAGGTCTAGCACGACCTGCCGGACAATGAGATGCGGCGTGCCTTGTCCCGCCATGGTATACAAAAGGAAGAGGTTGCAGTCGGGATGATCAAGTGTGTTGTTGAGATGTGTGAAAGTCGCAGGCTGGCAAGTTGTGGAAGGAGGAGTCCTGGAGCGAAAACGTCTCAGCGGCCCATGGTTGAAAAGGCGCGAGACAAGGGAACAGGCCATCAGTGGTGGTCGATGAGGCTGATGGAACCCGTTGGCACTATGTTGGGCAAGGCCACTTGATAGGCAACGGCTTGCGTTGGCGCATAGGTAGGCAACACTCCAGCTACAACAAAATGCATCAAAGCACAAAGCACAAAAGCACGAAGGGTAGAGCAAGTGCAGGTCCGGGCCTTTTTAACTCTGCCCTTGGTCGGCGCTCACGCGCATCAAAGACTGGTATAGCATGACAAGCCTTGACTCATTCTATGTGCAGCGGCAGGGCAACCAAAGTGCTCGAAGACTATTGGCGGGGTCGCATGAGGCTGTACCACGCGGGCAAGGCAAACAGCGCCGGAAGGAGCCAGCTGCCTGGGTTGTTCCATTGCGCCGGTCATAATCGGGACCCCTATCAGAATCCTTCGAGGGTGATACAGAGAATACTATTGGACTACTGCCCGGATATGACTCCCACTGTACCTCCAGGCCTCAGCTCTTGGGGAGTGACAAAGGGTACCAAACGGAGGAAGTTGAAGTTGGGTTGCTTCGTCAGATGATGACGGAGCCCTCCACGGGCAGGCACACCACACTAGGCCTAGATCAGGTTAGAGGGCCACGAGCGCCCACTTACACAGTAGACGCGTCGGCAATTCCCACTCAACGCGTCCCGACCGTTTATCAGACTGTGGGGGAAGGAAGGTGTTAGTGCGTGTTGCTGGCCCAAGAAGCAACCTGTGGACAACCATCGCTTCCTCTACTGACCCGTTGACTCACTCTTCCCCCCAGCCATGCCTCGTCAGCTCAAGCGCCGCTCCGACGCCATATCCCGTAACCAACACGACTCGGCAGAATCCGAAGACGAACCACCCCAGCGTGCGCAACGACGTCAGCGCCAGCGCTCATCTTCCTCAGAGCAGCCCCAGCGCCCTCAGCAGCAAACCCAGCGCCGCGAACAATCCTCCTCGCCGGAAGACTCCGATGCCCCATCCTCTCCTGGAAGGGGAGAGGGAGGCGGGCGCGGCCACTCGGCCGAAAACGTCCTCATCAAGAAACTCGTCCGTCTGGCCCTCGCGACAGAATACAGCCGCACTCCCCTGCGCAGAAGCGACATCAGCGCCAAGATCCTCAAAGACGCCAACACGAACACAGGCGGCAGCCGCGCCTCATTCCAGAAAGTCTTCGAGGGGGCGCAGAAAGTGCTACAGGACACTTTCGGCATGCAAATGATCGAACTGCCCGGCCGAGAAAAGACAAGCCTGAAGGAGAGAAGAACCCAAGCCACGCAGACGAAAGTGTCGAGCAGCGCCTCGAGCAAGTCGTGGGTCCTGGTGTCGACGCTGCCGCCAGAACTAAAGACGAATCCGCTCCTCATGCAGCCGAGCTTGGCCCCGAACGTGGAGACCGAGGCGAATTATACGGCGCTGTACACGTTCATCCTGAGCCTGATATTCCTGAACGCGTCGTCGATCACAGACCAGAAGCTGGAGAGGTATCTCAAGCGAGTGAATGCCGAAACCTACACCCCCATGGGGAGTAAGGAGAAGTTGCTGCAGAGGATGATGAAGGAGGGGTACATTGACAAACGACGGGACACTAGCTCCGGGGAGGAAGTCATCGAGTGGGTTCCTGGCCCGAGAGGGAAGGTTGAAGTCGGTGTGCAGGGTGTGATGGGCCTGGTGAGGACCGTGTACGGACACGGGGCCGTGGAATTGTCGAGAGACACGACGGGGAGACGGCGCGACGGGACCCGTGAAGACGAGGAAGGCGAGGATGAAGAAGAGCCCGGCCGCCTCGTCAAAATCGAGGAAGATGAGCTCAACGCCAAGCTATCGCGGAGTTTGGGCATCAAGGTCAGTGCCCACGGTGGAGACGAGACAAGGAGGGATCAACACGACGTCGACGACGACGAGGAAGAGCAACAAGAGGAAGAACAGGACGATAATCAACCTGGACCCTCGCAACGACCCGCACAGAGAACACGACCACCTAACAATGTTGGGAGAAATCAAGGTCAAGGTCGCGGTGGAGGCAGACGAAATGCACGGCACGAGGACGAGGATGATAGTGGTTGAGCATGGACACAGAGAGGGAGAGAGGGAGAGGAAGAGCCACATGCCATGTCTATTACGTTTGTCTATCCTGTTGTGCAGTGGTTGGCCCAGTGTACACTACATAGGAACATGAAAGTGGAATGTCCCCTAGCATGTCTCCGACGCCGTGTCGCTATGCTACGCCATGCCATGCTCATGCCATGCCGCCAACTCATCTTGGTCGCAGAAGATGTCATCCGACGCCGAGTGAATGGCAAAGAATGAGTCGCTTCGTTGAGTCCCATCTGACGCATCCCCACGGGGCAAAGGGCGCGTGCGCATCAAGCAGGGTTGATCTTGGACGATGTCCTTCTTGACAGGGGTCGCTCCCTTTGCATGAGTGCTGCGTACTCGTCTCGCCGTCCTGGTCGCGATGCAGCCGCGACGTCGGCGTCCCAGGTCACAGCTGCTGGGATACATGGTCGTCTCATTTCGGTTCCTCGGTCTCTATCCCTGTCGCTGTCTCTGGCCGTCTCTCCGCGTCGCTCCCGCCAGGTCAAAGCACCTCAACCAAAAGGCGACCTCCCTCCACCAGTGCTGAACCTAAAGCCTCCACCACCAGCTCCGCCTCCATTCATCATATTGAACAACATTTCCGGGTCGATCTGCACACCGCCGCCACCTCCAAACCCACCACCGGGGAATCCACCTCCCATCCTACCAAATCCGCCAGGAAATCCCCCCATTCCACCCGGGAATCCCATACCCGGCTCCATTAGATCCGCGCCCGAGTCGTACATCTGCCGCTTCTGCGGATCTAGCAGTGTCTCCTTTGCTTCCAAGCAATCCTTGAACTCTTCTTCCTTCTTCTTGTCCCCTTGCGTCTTGTCCGGATGCAGGACCGCCGCTTTCTTCTTGTATGCCCGCTCGATATCCTTGTCCCCGGCGTCCTTGTCGATGCCCAAGATCTTGTAGTAATCCTTGCGCTTGGATTTCTTGAGTTCGAGCTCCGCATTTCGTAATTCCTTGGCGAGTTCGGGGTCTGACGCGTTCTCTTCGGCGAGCGATTTCAAGTCTTTGACCGCTTGCTCCCAATCACCGCTTTCGCCGGTAGCTTTTGCACGGGTGCGTCGTGCTTTCATGTACGAAGGGTCGAGTTTCAGCGCCTGGTCACAGTCGGCTATTGCTTCAGCGTATTCTTTGATCTTGATGCGGGCCATGGCGCGGTTGCCGAGGAGTTTTGCGTTGGTGACTTTGTTAGTCGGGTCGATGGTAACAGCTTCGGTGTAGGCGGCCACGGCATCGGAGTATTTGCCGCGCTTGAACATGTCGTTGGCCGCTGTGCGGGCTCGATCCAGCTTTTTCATCGTTCTTAACGAGTTTCTTGCTTCGGAGTTGTCTGGATCCAATGCGAGGGCTTGTCGGAAATGATCTTCTGCTCGTTCGTAGTCGCTCTTTCCCTGACGAGGCTTCTCGTCCTTGAGATAGAGAGCCCGACCAGCGAGCACGATTGCGACGGCGTCTTGCGGATTGTCACGCATCAGGGACTGTGCGATACCTGTTACCTCTCCCAGTGCATTGGCAGTTCCGACCTTAAGATTCGCCTTGGCCTTCAAGATCTGCCATCTTCTCGGTGTGGGGGTGCCGGCTCCGAGCGTCTTCGTGGCTTCGCCTATGCTCCAGAGTGCCATCTTGCCGTCTCCGTCCTCCGCGTCTATCTGCTTCTGAGCCATGTCGATGCATTGTAAGGCCTTGCGCGCCGCCGCCGTGTCTGTGGCCGAAGCGTTCGGAATCTTCGCATATATGTCGAGAGCGTCTTGCGGTCGGCCTAACGAGGTGTAGACCCGGGCAAGACGGTGGAGAATCTTGTCGTTGTTGGGATCTAGATGGCTGGCCTGGAGGCAGTCATTCAATGCGAGGCTGTATTTGTTCGCGGAAATGTAGGCCGCCGCTCTGTTCGACAGGTAGGTGGGATTCGACGGCTCTGCATCAACCGCTTTGGTATTTGTCAGCCACGGCAGTGTTCTCAATGGAGTCTGGAAATGCACATACCCTTTGTGTATTCTTGAATAGCCCGCTCGTAATCTTTCGCCTTGAAGAATTTGTTCCCTGCCGCCTTGCACGCCTCGGGATCGACCTTGGGCGCCGGAGGAACTCTGTGTGGAGGAGGGGTTGGGCTGCGTTCTTCAGGGTGGCCGTTGACACCGTTCGCGGCAGCGTCGTCACCGGACTGGTCGGGGAACGCACCAGGCGCCTCTCTTGACGGGGTAGCAGGCTGGGATGCACCGGCGGCGCCACTGTTGGGTACAGAAGCGTCATGGAGATTGGTGTCTGTGTCTCTGTCGAGCGACATCCTGCCGGCCGACTCGGCCTCTTGTCTGGCCATCTGGGCCAGGTGTGCACGGAGCTGTTCGGGAGGGAGATTCAATGGGTGGGTGTCGGAATCGTACTTGGACTTCTTCTTGTCCTTGTCCTGCTTCCTGGGAGATTTTGAGGGCGATTTTGACTTCGGCATCGACGGCGAGTAATTGGTTGTGCCTGCAGGTGGAGGTGGGGCGGGGGCAAGGGCAGGTCCTGCACGGCCTGAGCCTGTCGTGGCCGGCGCTGTCGTACTGACAGCGGGAGCAAACTTAGCACGGCTTTCCGCACCGAACTCTGCTTCGGATTTATTCACAGCCGTGGCAGTGGCAGCGGCAGTCCGAGTCCCAGGCCTGGAATCCTCAGCCTTGAGGGCGCGCAGGAGGCTCCGAAGATTCTGCTCGGTCAGTGGCGCAGTCGCAGAGGTCGCCCTGGACGCTTGCTCGGCGAACAACGGGAGAGGGGTTGTGTATGACGGCGAGCGAGTTGAGGAATTCAGTTTGCCGGCTGGAGAGGAGGCAGGACCACGTCGTGGTGTTTCTTCTGGGCGCAGGCTTCGAGGTCGGGGAGATTCGTCGTGCTGGTGCTGGTGCTGGTGCTGGTGATCCTGCTCGTTGTTGTGGTTGCTGCCGGCCTGGATCTGCTGGCCTCTGTCGAAATCTCTAGAATTTTTCCAGCCTCTGGTGGGACTCGGCTGACGACCGGGGCGTCTGGCGCTGCCCATCCCACGCGATGCGTGGGCGTCGAAGCCATCCATAGGTGGATTAGGCGCACTTTCCCCCTGACGCTTCGGCTGTGAGCCTCCTGCGCCCGCGACTGGTGGGCGTTCGTCCACAGCTATCTCCCCGAGCTTTGGCTGCTTCCTAGCGTTGCGGGCAGGAGACGCATCGCGCGACGGCTGATAGGAAGCAGAGTCTCTTGCTCGCTTGCTCATGGCGGCGACGGCGACACTACGGCACTGATTGGGGACTGGATGTGCTATAACGCTGGCAATTTGGTGGATGGCTTTACTATCGGGCCGGACTTGTTGTTACGGTCCGGCACAAACAAGGCATACATGAGGGAAGAAAACAATGAACATGGTGCTGTGTGGAACCGTGTCGAAGATTGACCCTCAATTCATTACAGACTGAAACCCAGCTGCAATCAATGTCTCATGTGTCTCTGTTACCAGACACTGTGTCCTCGTCCATGTCACCATATCGACATGTTGGCACCCCAAGCGTGCGAGACTCATGACGGACGAAAGGCCCCGCAGTTGTTCAAGATGGACCGTACAGGTGCATGATGAGGCCATCGCTGATATTGTACAGGATGAAATACTACAGGCTAGAATACATGGCCAACAAAGCCACCGTGGCCCTGGAACGCTCGTGGCAAGCTCACTGCGCATTGCTCTTGCATGTCCAGCTGCTCCCACCCCCCTCGTCGTGTATGGCTTTGCCACTGGCATATAATCCCATGCCGCAAATAGCAGCGCCTAATGTGAACATCAGGACGTTGACAACAGTCAAGCAGATCTTTCTCCAGCCCCTGGTGTACTGCCCTCGGTTGAGGAACAACCAGAAGATGCCGGAGATGCCGTAGGTGAACCATGAGGCGAAGAGACTCGAGATCAGGGCAAGGAGATCGTTAAAATTGGGGATCGACTCGGCGATGATCCAGGCAACCACCCACAGGGTCAACGTGATGGCCAGCCAGCTGCCCACGGAAAGAAGGGTCTTCTTGGACATGTGCTTCGTGCCTCGGAAAATACGCACGTAGATGTACTTTGAAGCCACGTGCCCGTAGATGACACCAGCGATGATGATGGTCGGAATAGCCAAGCCCCAGGCGACTTTGCCAACCAGTGTCCCAGCTGTTCCTAGGGCAGGGGAATCAACTTCGTCGCCGCCATATGCGTAGACGACCATGGCAACAACGAAGTACATTCCCGTATCAGTGACCTGCAGCAAGACGAGCGCCTTCGGAAAGTCCTCAGGGTTCTTCATTTCCGAGATGAAACTGAAGAAGGCAACATGGCCAGCGTAAGCAAAGACGATATTGGTGACGCTGAGGAAGGCGGTCGCAAAGCTGGCCTGTTGTGTCGCTCTGAAGTGGCCTTGCGATGGATCTCTGGCACCTACGCCGGCCATGGTGACGATAACCGCGGTGGTGATACTCAAAAAGCTGGCGCACGACAGCCAGGAGACCTTCAGCAGGGTTCGAGGAATGTCAAAGACCCAGAACAGAAGCAGGCCGACGATGCCCCATACGACCGTGCACGCAGCTCCGTTGGTCAGGGTGTTGAGGCAGATTGTCCACGTCAGAATGTGACTTGCCATGCTGAAAACGAGGAAGATGGTCTGGGCGGCGCCGAGGAATTCGCGGCCAAAGATGGCTGCGCGTGGTCCAAGAGGTTTGAAAAGCACGTAGCCGGCGTCTGCCATGTTATGTACCTATACGGGCCCGACGTAAGTATGTGGTGAAAGTGCTGCTGCAGCTTGAGAGTGCCTACCCAAGGATGTGCAGCCTTGAATTGCCCAATGACATAACCTGAGTAGGTGGCCACGACACCGAGACCGATAATCATGATGCCACCTGGGACCATTCCGACAGTCGCAAGCACCGAGGGCAATGACAGAATACCCAGAGATATCGTCTCGGCGATCATGACTGGGGAGAATCAGTGTCTCACTCTCGCGCAACGAGTTCTTGCTGGTAACGTACTCATACTGCATTGCCTGTCACATTCGCAAGTCAGTATTCCCACCCTCTACTGAGAAGCCAGGGTGTTACTTACCACCACTTCAGCGTCCGGTATTTGACGTCGCCCTCCTCGCCATCGTCTCCGAAAGGATCCAACTCTTGATTGGCACTCTGTCGTCGCCACGCACTGCCCAGTGATGACCGCCTTTTCTCCTTCGAGGTCTCGACATCAGGGTGTGCATGGCCTCCGGTAGCTGGGCCATCCAGAGGGGCGGCGTGCTTCTCTGCATCAGGACCAAAAGGATCCGATGAAGCGCGAAGTGTCGGTGATCTTGAGGCCATGTTTGCCCTCAATGGAGAGCAGCCTGTTGTCGCTGATGATTGGCGTTGCGCTCACTGTTGTGCGCGTCGAGGTCCTTGTAAACTCTCGCGGCTGGTGTCAGAGAGGTTAACGGACAATATGTCTCGGCCAAGGACCACATGGTATTTGTGTATTCTCCCATCTGTGCGACGGATGATGGCATGGTGCCCTCGACGTCATGGCGTGTCAAAGGACAAGCCAGCTGATCGCCCCTCGTGTGGGTGGTCGGATCTAACCTTGTCCGAGCCCGCGTTACGGGGTAGAAAAGAGGTACACACTGTCTGTGCCGTGTGGTTGTGCCCGTCATGCAGCAACAGAGAAATGATCGACAGGTGAGCGTCCGGGGGCTACACTTGCGCCTGAATAGGAACCAATTAACAGCAGAGGGGAGCGTTTGCTGTGTGGCACTTGGGGGAAGAAGGAATCGCCCTCGACCCAAGTTTAGCGTCGACCGACGTCAGCGACGCAGGTTTGCGTCATAGAATGGGGGGCAAACGCCAGTAAACACCAGTAAACTCTGGGAATAATCGACCAGACATTGCTGGATCACCGAATCCGCAGTCCGTTGACAGCGGTGTACAACGTCTGTGCAGGGAACGAAGCAACAATATCAACGGCTACCTCGTACATGCGAGTATGGGGTGCATGCTTGATTGCCCTGTCCGTGTCTTGGGAATCGCGGCGAACCACTTTCATTCGTGGTGTTGTGCGCGGCGTTCTACTTAAGCCTTTGCCACGCCTTGGCCCGTCCATTTCATGCCCACGTGCCTTCCTTCCTAGAGGGAGAGAGAGATTGTGTGTGCGTGTGTGATTTCCTGCGCACTTTGATGATCAGCCCCAAGTGTACTATACCGGTACCATTACCCTCAAGGCCATATAAAGACAGACCATAGCAACGGCGATATTTCCGGCGCAGCAGGCATGAGGATGTTTTCACTGAGTTTATCCCGTCGATGCGCCCTGTGATATCAGCGTGGGCGATCTACTTGGTGCCGCTGGTCGGTCCTCCGATCGATGACCGAAATGAAAATCTCTCTAGCAGCGTGCTGGACTGTTACCCGCGAGTGAAAGTCTATTTGGCGCCAAGGGCTGTACGATGCGGTGGCCTTGCCCGGGGTACAGGCCCAGTGTCATTGCACAAGGGTCCCAGTCGCACAGCGTGTCATCACCAAGCGACCAAAGCCCAGAGTGCTGTCAAGGTTCCATTTTCTGGATAGGAGAAATACGCAACGTCAACTTTTCTCTGGAAGGCCCGCTCAGATAACCCCAATTCTCCCGGTGACAAACCTTCAAGTGTTAATGATTGTCCACGTGTTCCGGCTTCCTACCCGTGATGAACCAGCAGTACGTGTAAAGAAGTCTGGACCTGTCGTTGAATTCTTTCCTCACGTCCGCCAGCAGGACGTGGATCTCCTCCTCCGACCAGCCAAGAGCACGTGTGAGATACGCGAGCGTGACGGCTTCTAGAGCTTCATTCATCTGTACCTGAAGGTATGCCCCGATCTCACGGAGTCTGCGGTCTTTCGGCCACGCACCTATCGGAGTCTGGGCGCATAGTCGCAATTAGTGGGTGGCTGATCCATGGCGCCAGGGAAGGCACGCGAGAGATGCTCACCTTGATCCTCTGCGTCTGAATGCCCACAAAACCAGCTTCTTCAAGATGGGCTTCGAACCGGGACGCATAGTTGAGGCGCCGCCCGAATGAGAGACTGGCCTCGTCGACCAGTTTCTGCCATTTGACAATGGCCGAGTCTTCTGGGAGGCCTCCAGGCACCTGGGAGTAGAACCAGACTTCAAACTCCTGGATCTCGATCCAGCCGCCAGGCTCGAGAGACGTCAGCGCCTGTCTGTACATCCTCGTCCAATCCCCAATGCTGCCGGACAAGCTGCGCTGGTGGATGTAATGGAACTTGCGACTTTGCGGATAGTCCCACTCTTGCTCAAGGTCATCGATTATGAAGGTACAATTCGGGGCAGTCCTGGTGGCCCGTGGTCAGACAGACAGGGCGCGTTCGTGATGATGGGGGTGACAAGCTTACATATCCGGTTGAATCGGACTGAGATCGACAGCTGCAAGAAGGCATCAGTACGCCGTTGGTTTGCGGTTCAGGGGACTTACCGAAGACTTGGGCCGCTGGAAACTCGCTAAATCGGGTATCAGCATAGGCTGCTGAGCGTCAGTGCAGAATGAGGATCCTACTCGGCGAACTCCAGTGCCCAAAGTCCAGTCCCGGTTCCGATATCCAGAACTCGCTGGGGGGTGTCGATCGGGGCGGTGTGGAGCCGGCCACCTTGCACGAGACGAAAAATATGGTGCAGCATGTCGAGCCGCTCTTGTTCTTGTTCGTCGTTGGGCTAAGACGTGTCAGTGTCCGGCCTCTCAACAAGTTTCCCGAGAATCGCACAAAGGCGTAGGCGTCGGTGCCTAGTCGCTGGTATCTTCTACCATTCTGCGGCCCTTGATCAGCGTCTCATGCGCCACATTCCGGTATCCAGATGACCTGCCTCATATCTGCACTGGTATCAGTACATTGAGGTTCTTTGGAGGGACGAAGACTTGCGTATAATTCAACGCTGACGAACGGAGCGTTGTGGTGATCGACGACGTGTCGCTGATTACACGTCAGCTCAGTTGATACTGCAACGACGCAGACATACCTTCCCTCATAGCCCGAGTCAGCATCATCGAGGCCACCTTGCGCTCCCTGCTGGATCTTTAGCACTCGCGCTGCGTGACGTGGCGTGGGCGCACTTGCCTGGACATCAATGTGCGCGTCCCTCTCCATGGGAAAGCCCGCGCTGGACTTTAGGCGTGGATGATACCCGCGCACATCACAGCCGCAGAGGATGATGCACCGAGTAAAGAAGTGTTAGGCCCTCAGAAGGTGGAATGGTCGAGATGGATCCTCGTAACGACTCGACTTATGCGAAACTCTGATCGAGGAGGGGCTGAGCTGCCGGACTGATGGACGCGGGGAGCGACAGAGAGACATCCGTAGTCTGGCGCGAGGACCGGGCAGTCTTCGGGCCGGAGCATCGAGCCGGCGTGCTGCGTTCTGATTGTTGCGCCAATCTTGCCGTGGGAGAGTTAATTAAGCTTCCCTTTATAGCGGCTTGCAGGAGCGCGAGGAGGGTTTGGTGGAGGGGACACACCTGGCAGATTGTGTGGACTCCGTACTGGGTAGAACTCGTAACAGCAGACGCGTGGGGAGCATAGTGTGCACGAATGGTCAGCCCCGACTTGCCCTCGTCTGGCCTTTCTCATCGCCTATACGCTTTGCTCTTAGCGAGCGTCGGCTGCCTGAACGCCAGGCAATTGTTGGCCAGAGGCACAATGGGTGCTCCACGAGGCCTGGACTCCATACTCCATATTGACTTCGACCGATAAATGATTCCCCCCTCACCGCACCCATGCTGCACACAATCTCATACCTTTATCTTCCGAAGTGAGGACCCGTGCAGGTTGAGTCACAATCCATCGACTGGATGTAACGGCACCACCAAGCATAGCCATGACCTACCCAGACATGCTGGGCGCCTCTCCCCTGGGATTGGTCTGTGTGCTTGGGCCCGTGTTGGCAGTGACCTATCTTGGCGGCCTGGTGATCTGGCGGCTCTATCTGTGTCCCCAGGCGCACATCCCCGGGCCGACGTTGGCAAAGCTCACATACTGGTACGATCACCATCACACAATCCAGTGTCGTGACCCTCAGAACGACTCACTCACTGCCCAGGTACGAATTCTACTACGACGTCGTCCTCGGCGGTCAATATATCTGGAAGATCCGGGCGCTTCACGAGCAATATGGGCCGATTCTGCGCATCAACCCGGAGGAGGTCCACATCAACGACGCCGACTACTACGACCAGGTATATGCCGGCGCCACACACAAACGGAACAAATGGACCTTTTTCACGAATTCGAGTGGGCTGCCGCAGTCGGCGTTCGGCACCCCAGACCACAATCTGCACCGCATGCGCAGGGCGGCGCTGAATCCCTACTTCTCCAAGGCCAAAGTGCGGGTGTTGCAGCCGCGCATTCAGTCCAGTCTGGACAATCTGATGGCTCGGTTTCGCGAATTCCAGGAATCCGGAGAACCTATGACGGTGTCGCTGGCGTATGCTGCCCTTGCAAACGGTGCGTCCCCTGTGCCGGCTTGTGCGCCACCAAACTTGACGAGACTGACGAGGCGGCACAGATATCGTCATGGAATACGCATTTGCGCGCAGTGACAATCGGCTGCTGGCCCACGACTTCGACCCAAGCTTCAAAGAGGCCGGCGAGGCGGGGGCCAAGATTGGCCATTTCGTCAAGCAAATGCCGTGGGTGTTGACTCTGATGAAAGTACTGCCGGACTCGGCGCAGCTCGCCCTGAACCCTGTCATGGCAAGCTACATCAAACTCAACAAGGTAAGCTTCTCTGAACGCGGTTTCCCAGGCGGGATCAGATGTGCCGTAACAGCGCCTTCATTAACGCATCACTCGCGACCAGGACGTTATCCGGCATGTTTCCGAGATCTACGCCCACCGCGGCGACCCCGACAGCAAATACAACTCGCAGACGACCATCTTCCACGCCATCATGCAGGGCGACCTGCCGGAGAAGGAGAAGTCCCCCGACCGCCTCTGGCAAGACGGCCAGGTCGTCGTCATCGCCGGCACCCTGACCACGGCGGCAGCACTGTCGGAGATCACGTACCAGCTGCTCCAACAGCCGAGCGAGCTGCGCAGACTCAAGAAAGAGCTCGCAGACGCCATACCAGACCCGACGGCGCCCCTCGACACAGTCAAGCTCGAGCAGCTGCCCTACCTCTCGGCCGTCATCAAGGAAGGTCTCCGTCTGAGCAGCGGCATCAGCACGCGCTTGCAGCGCATCGCCACGGACGAAACCCTCATCTACACGGCCACGACGCGGGGCAACGACAGCAAGGAACCCAACACCGTCGAGAAGCAGTACGTGCTCCGGCCAGGCATCCCCTTATCCATGACGGGCCTGCTGATCCACCACTCCCCCACGTACTTTGACGACCCGATGACGTTCCGCCCCCAGCGATGGATCGATGACCCGAGCCTCGAGAGTTATCTCGTCCCGTTCTCGCGCGGCACCCGCGCCTGCGTGGGTCTCAACCTGGCGTACGCCGAGCTGTACGCCACGGTGGGAACCGTGTTCAGTCAGTACGGGAGCCGGGAGGTCCGCCTCCCGCGGGACAGAGGGTTTCTGGAGCTCTACAACACGAGCTACAAGGATATCGAAATCATAGGCGACGGGGTCACGCCGCTATATCGGCCGGACAGCAAGGGAGTCAGGATCACGGTCCATGCAGCATGACCATTTTTCTTTCTCTGTGTTTTAGAAAACTAATGCCCTGGCGCTGAAATGTCCTTGATAAATATTCGGGGAGTCGGGAGTTCCAGCGAAAGCGTTTCGCATGATACGTATGTCTGCCTGCCTGCCTGCTCTGCCCGCCTGCCAGGTATGCACACGCAGCTGTTTGTTGGTGATCGCCACTAAGTGTCAGTCAGTCAGTCAGTTCGGGAGTATTCCCTAATGAGAACCACCTCCCTGCCTGTAGATCCGTTGATATCACCTCCATTTCAGTTACACGTATCTCGGAGGCAAACGAGACCTACCGTGATGTACACTTCAAGATCTGCAGCGCTTTCTTCACCCACGCCCAAGGAATACTTCCTGATATGGACAATCAATATCATTACGGGACATTTCTGCATGTTTCAGGGTATAATTCAAAGCTATGCACAAACCACACAACACATACACACACCCGACCTTACGCCAGCGCCAGCGCCCAACTCTACTCCATCTCGGCGGGTCCGTTTTGTCGCACCGACGGGTGCGTCCCTTGCACTACTGCATCGGCATCCTTCTCGACAGGTTTCTGCGGGTCGGACTTCACGGTCGCTGTAGGTCCATCCTTCGCCGGCATCTCCACGGGTTGGTAAACGCCTGCGAGTTCGGCCGCGCGGTGCGAGGCGGCAGTGCTATACGACGGCAGCGAATCCTTCTCGGGGACGTCGGGACCTAGTCCTTGGCTTCTGCCCTGCTGGCGACGACGACGGAGCCAGAAGAAGACCCCGCCAGCGACGAGTAGCACGCCAGCGACCGCCGCTATGGCGATCCCTGCGATCGCGCCGCCAGATATTCCGTCGTCTGTTTCTTTGCTATATGGGCTTAGCGTGGCCGTAGCTGTGATCGATGGGGTTGTGCTGTCGCTCGGCGGTGGAGAGGTGGTGGCAGCTTGTCTTATGATGAAGAGGTTGCTCAGGCCTGTCTGGTCCCACCCTCCGTCGGGTTCGAGTTTCGTGGCATTCCCTGACGGCCTAGGATGATTGTTAGTCGATGGAGCTTCGCTTTGCTTTGTCTTTGCGGATTATCTTGGAACTCACCCTCCACCAATCACCTTGACCACTGCTTCGGGCACTTCGAAAGCCGGGGCTGCGGCATCGTAAACGCTGCCCCACTTGATGGTGCTCAGGTCAAGCACAGCCAAGCTCTTCTGTTCCCAATCGCAGTCGGAGGAAATATTGCTGCTCTTGCCACCACCGCCTACGGTGATCATTTGCCTCGGGGGGATGAAATGACATGTGACGCTCCATCGTGCATCTTGGCCCGTAAAGACCTTGACCCAAGTAAAGGACGGCAAGCTGAGTACATAGATGTCGTCGAAGATTGTACCATTGCTTGTTCCGCCGTAAAGGTAGATGCTGGTGCTGCTGTTGTCTTGCGAAGGTGCAGCCACCAAGCAAAAGTCCACCCGGGCGTCGGGAATGTCACCAGTTGCCTTCTGCTCGTACCACAGGTTGTTACCGCTTCCAGCCAAGCCGGTAAGGTCCATGGAGTGAATGTCGAAGATTTTGATCTCATCCATGGGAATGTAACCCGTGGTTTGGGTCTGCCCACCAATAAGCAAAAGCACGCCGGAATTGCCAAAGTTGTCGACGTATACGAGGCCTCCTCCTTGGCGATTGGTCTGAATGCCACTCAAGCCCGTTATATTCTTGATGGTGTTGGTTTGGGTCTCGATCACCACCATGCCAGACACGCCAACAGTATCGTCGCCGAGAAACTGAGTGCTGTTTGCTGTACCGTCGTCGATTTGTCCACCAACGTAGAAGGCGAGTCCTTGGTCCGGAGCTTCAGCACTGGCTCCCCAAGAGGGTATGGTGTCTAAGACGTTAGACGTGTCGACAGCAGTCCAAATATCCCCATCCATATCGTAGGTCCAAATGCCGTACCGCGTGTCCGGGGGAATCAAGAAGTTGGGGAATGACTGGTTGAAGTCGGAGGTTGTACCACCGAACATGGTCAGCGAGGGGGAGTCGTTCAAACCTCCGAACAGAGCGCCGTCGTGAACATTCACCGGCCATTGCATGCCGGCAACGCTGCCACTTTCGTGTCTGGCGTTCTGGGAGATGGATATATTTGTCTTCCAGTCCCATGACGCGGTCATGTCGACCGAGATGAGGTTCTCGTCTTCGAGGGCTGGGTCAGCTGCAGAATTTTTGCTGGGCTTGCACTGAACTCACTGATGCCGGTAGTAATCGTGTTCCAATCCTGTTGCCCGTCCGCACCAAAGTCGACGTATGTCTCAATGCCGCCATTGATATAGAGCGTCCCGTTCTTATAAACCGAGCTGTGTCCAATTCTTCTGCAAAAGTTCTTCACTGGATCAAGCGCAACCCCGGCCTGGACAAGATCCAATTGAGTCAACGCCAGAAGACCGAGAAGACCAAATCGGTGGCTGAGAACATGTTGAAATGAATCCATTTTGGCAGCCTGCTGTCTGTATCAAGAAATACCGCGCATTCAACAAGGGGCAATAGTGACCAAAGAACGTGAAGGCGTAACGAAGATATCGAGCTGCACAAAGGAAAATGGACGAGAACAATTAGAGAGTGGTGAGAGTAGGAGCCCGGTGTCGCGGGTACCCATTTGAGTAGTAATCGGAGCAGATCACCTTGTCGATCCTTTCATTTCCCGTCAGCCCTAGGGTGGCTAGAAGCGGTGGATGAACGAGAGCTGACCAGGCCAGCCAGGATCGGGGGCGCAGTTCGCCATTGGTCCTCGAGCAATTTATGATGCACAGGGCGCCGTCGCCCACGGCGACTTGGCAAGCAGGAATCCATGGTGCACCTCAAATATTGCCTAAGCAAGCAGCAGAGCCGCTGTTCTGGTTCAGCCATCTTCCACACGCAGAAGGACTCACATAACCAGTCTGGGGGCTGGGTGACAGCGGGCACCGAGTGCGTACCCAGAGAGCGGTGTGGTTAAGCTCGCTCAGCCTCATGGCCGCTCCCAGCTAATGGCTAGTGAGCGGCGGAAGACCTCCAAAAGTCGATGGCATGAAACGGTTTTGTAGACCGTCTGTACGAGGATGCGGTTGTTTGTGTGACGCGACAGGACGAGTCCTCCGTCCGGTGAACGAATACGAGCATTGTCGAAGCAGCCGAAATGACGATCTTATGGCACAGAAAACCACGCCGTCGGTGCTCTGATTTGTTTCATGGGACAGGCGAATCGGATGAAGACCGACATTTGCAAGAAGCGGAATGGTGTCGCAAACCGCCCCCCAAAGGATAAGCAGGAAGAGGCCGTGTTTCAGTTCCATCGAAAAAGGTAGCTCACGTGACTAAATACATCACGTGACTGCGCGTCACCCGCCAAGCCACGTTCCGGAATTCACGAGCCACTCAGCGGCGGCGCTCGATGTTTTTGTTGACATGATACGTCACACACTCATATAGACCGAAAGGACGAAGCTTCTCCGCCAAACGGTCAGGAAGTGAGCTGACATCCACAAATCCACCAGGGAACGAGACCGTTGGGTTTCGTCCTTCTCAGATCTTCGCTTCTACATCCGACATTTGAGCTGCTCTGTTCCTGAGCTATCAAGTTTTGAACGCCGCCGAAGATGGCCGTCCCCCGACGCCGCTCAGCTCGGTTGAGCGCTGCACAACAGGAGGTAATGTTGGGCCAGCTTGCCGGCAGGAACTCTTCTCAGCCGATTGCAAATACTTTGATCTTCGACTTGAAGCTAACATTTGCTCTCGCAGCGTGCTTCGCCACGAAAACCTACATCTGCAATACAACTCGAGTCCCTCGTCGAAAGAGATGAAACGCCGCTCGAAGAACCGCCATCGATTGATAATGTCCTCGCAACGCCCACCTCTATTGCCAAAATGTCCCAGCTATCCAGACTGTCTGTCCTCAAGACACCGAAGACCGAACCTCGACCTGACCGGGGTGAGATGCATCCACAGCTTCTCCATCAGACAACGGCCAAAGAACCAGATTCTGGCCTGAAGCTGGGGTTTGTTGATCCACCTCCACAGCCTCCCCATTCCGTCGCAAGCGCTCAGAACACTCCTTCGAGAACCCGCTCGAGCAACGCGAAACTAAGCTCCACAACCTTCGACTTTAATTTTGGTTCCGAGTCCGCCTTAAGCAACGAGGCGCAGAAGATGATGGATTCCGTTCGGGAGGAGGCGGCGCGAATCAAAGCCCAGATGCAGGCGGAGAGAGAAGCACAGAAACAAAAGGACTCTGACGCAGAGGCTGCCTTCGGCGGCATTAACGCAGCTGGAAGAAAGATTGCGAAGCCCAAGGGCAAGGCAGGCCGGTTCAGCGATATTCACATGGCGCAATTCAAGAAGATGGACTCGATAGCCAACCATCCATCGGCCTTCCGATCGAAGCGACCTGGATTTGCACAACCTACCACTCAGTCGCTTAAGAGAAGTGGGTCGAAGGCTGGTCTCGATGAAGTTGACCGACCTCGAACTGCTGGGAAGGGTACTCCAGGTCGCAAGCCCCCACCATTCCTTGGTCGTCCGACCTCAGTCAGCCCCTTCAAATCTGTGCCACAACAGCCTGAACGCACAGAAAAGCCCGCCCAGGTCAAGCGTGCCCGCCATTCTGAGTTCCACGATGTCTCCGCCAGCAGAGCGTCAGAACATTCACAGACAGCTCGTCCGGTAACCCATCCCAGCGCAGTTTCAAGCCACTTGTTGTCTCCCACAAAAGCCTCTTTGGCCAGAGCTGCAAATAGTCAAATTCCAGTAGCATCTCCGAAGAAGACACCTGGGCTCACACGGACCACTTCGATGAAGTCACTGCGAGCGACACCGGCGGTGCCCAATGCGAGACCATCTACATCCCATGGAGTGGGCAGCAATAAGGCAGCAACCAAAATTCCCCACTTTCAGCTGTCACTCGAACGGCCTCTTCCATCCTTACCGAACGAAAGTTGCTCGTCCTCGCAGCTGGCGCTCGAACAGCCATCCAAGTTGGTCCCTTGTCTTCCCGCTCCATCCAACACCTCAAGTTTCGCGTCAAGGCTGCCGAAACTCTCGGGTCTGAAGTCGATCCTTCGCTCACCTCGAAAGAATGAGAGTCCCGCATTGACGAAGGAAGCCTCAGCAACTCCTAGGCGGCCCACCACCGCTACCGCCACATCAGCCACCGGATCAATCAAGAAAGTCGACTTCACCCCAAGTGTCAAGTCTAGATACGCCGTCAAACTCGCTGCTGGAAGTCCTAGCCCAGCAAAACTACCACAACAACTAACACCAGGACACGCGCTGGCACCAGCTATCCCATACGACCCAGCCGCATACACTATCGACGACGAGGATGGATGGGAAGATGCCGAAGATGCTTCGAGTGAGATCGAGTATCCGATGCTCCCGGGAACATCATCGAGCCCGGGTAGCCCCGTGAAGGCCGACAACTCGTTCATCAACAAGGCAAAAGAACATAATCGTCGGGAGTCGAAGGAGTTCAAGTCCATCTTTACGACTCTACATCACCCATCTCGCACTAGCGCTCCCTCAACATTGACGTCCGTCAACACCACTATCAACAAGAACTATGCTCCTGCTTACGCCAACAAAGTCATGAGATCCCCTAGCAACGTCAACTTCTCCAACCCTTCTCCTTCGACTATCCGTCGCGTCCGCACCTCAGGTGTCACCACAGTTATTCAACCCTTCGAGGATACGGACGTCAAGACTATGCCCCACGGCCTGCCGGGGAAGAAGCGTCGACGAGCATCAGAAGACCAGCAGGACACAGACGAAGAGAGCGGCAAGGAAAACCGTCGCGCCTCTATCATGCCAAGTGTGCCTGGCGGGTGGTGCGACAGCACGCATAATGACGACGAGGAACAAGACGAGGGCGAGAAGCGCGGGGGCAAGCGTATGCGGATGGCACCCTCGCCTGACAAGATGTCTGTCGTAGCTGCAGACAAGACTAGTCCGGTCAAGAAGCCTCGACAGAGTTCCGCGCGAGAACTTGCCAAGCAAACTGCAAAAGAGCGGAAAGGTGGTCGACTGATGAGTCTCAGCCGACTGAACTTCCTAAGTCAGCCCAAGCAGAGAGGTTGAGTGGAATGGAAAGGGAGACAGAGGTCCGCGCGGATTCATCCCTCAGTATGTCGTCGAGAACTCGCCGCGTCTGGCTTAACAGCTGACAGGCTTCAGTGCACGCAGACAGAGTTGGATATGATCCTTCTGGACACACATCTGGCTCACTCGAAGTCACTGTGTAACGCAGTGCAATCTGTGGCGGCCATTACTTTCGGAACTTGTCTTAGTTGGCTGTGGGCTTTTGAGATGCCGTCTACCTGCTTGGTGGGTACAAATCTGGAGTTCTTAATGGTATGGAAGGGAAGGGGAAGGGAACTCGAATCAAATTCAGGATACTTGTTTCGCACGGTTGGTCGACTTCACCAATGGAGTGGTTTTGGTCTACAAGTTATGGGCACGGGTACTGGTACGGTTACGAATACGGAGTTTCATGGGCAATCATGGTTGGATACAGGCCTCCCAAAAGTTTTTCGATCCATGATCATAGTGCAGTGAGTCGGGCTTGAGGTTCACGCATACATATCTGGATGGCCTCGATTTTCGGTCTGTCTGTGGGCTGACTGTCGAGCCCCCGTCGTTGATGGTTTTGTTTACGTTGACATCTGAAGCAGACCGCAACTTCGATGTATTTCGGAGTCTCGCTCGCACACACGGCCTGATCTCTTGCCACGAGCAAGCAGGCAGGCCGACGGGCGTACTGAATACAGGACATTACTCTTTCTAGACTACCTAGATGAGATCCTTCCATCCCGTGATGCTTATCCACTTGACCAGGGCCGGCGCACAAGTCCCGTCCTACGACTGAGCCGGGAATGTATTTTGATCTCGAAACTGCGTAATCTAGATGGCCATTCACTCCGGTGGGAGCTCTACTGCGAGTTTAGCCTTCAAGATCCACAGACTGGCTGCCACTTCGGGGCCTCGTTTGCGCATGTTCGTTGAAATGGTTCATTGGTTTATTAGTTGACGGCAGCTTTTTGTCCCTAGAACCAACCGAGTCCCACCAGGAAAACAGCCGACGGTGCAGTCTGACTTTCTGCCAACTGCTGAATCCTCGGACAGGTGACTAGTAATGACCAAAAAAATAAGAAGTGGATCATTAATCAGTACACGGCCTCGAGCAAATAAATGACGCCGAAGACCAAAAACGCAATAGCGCCGCCCATGGTAACTGTGAGTCGTTAGTTGCAGTTCTGTACAATGCATGCGATGGGAAGGTTGCCTTACCAGTCCTCAAGCTGACCTTCCCGGCGATAGCTCGTCCGCCCAGCACGGCAGCACCGGTACATATGCCATGCCCTACCAGGGCGCCGGCTGTAACCCACCAGTAGTCCTGTCCCGCGGCCATGGCAATAGTCGCTATCTGCGATCGGTCGCCCCATTCGCCCAGAAAGGTCATGACGAAAGTCTGCACCCAGGCGGGGCTGAGCAGTAACGAGAACAAGTTGTTAATCCCGGCCAAGGCATTCTTGAAGCTCGACGTTCGGGATGGGCTCGCCTCGCGCGACGAGGAGGGCGACTCGGGCGGTGAAGGAAGCCGTGAGTCCGTGTTCTTCCGCCCCGGAACGCCACGCCCGGCCTCCAGCGCGTAGGGCGATATCGCGCTCGACCGTCTCCGGTGTCTCGACATTTGTCGTGCATGCTGGTGTTCCTTCTCCTCGAGTTCCATCTCTACTTCTTTCATTTCTTCGCCAACCCCTTCGTCGGGCGACTTTCCTCTGGCTTCCATCACCATCTTCACACCAAAGACCAGAAAGAGACCCGCGGCTGCGAATTTGGTGAGGGTTTCAGGTATTAGAGTGGGCACGGCGTGCCCGAGCACGGCAGATAGAACCGTCATCGTTATGAGAGCGGAAAAGGCGGCCGTAAACACCACCACTCTAGGGTGGCGCATGGCCATGAGCGCCGCGACCAGGAACGTCTTGTCGCCAATCTCGGAGAAGATGATCATCGTGAAGGAGAGGACCAAGGAATGCATGGGCGAAATGACGGCGGGTTCATGCTCGATGGGTCTCTTGGGTGTTTGCGGGCTCTCAGACGAGAGGATATTGTCTTTCGGTGAGGACGGGTTTTCAGGGTGAGGGATATCGTGCGGCTTGGAGGGGAGGTCTTCGGGGACCTGGCGACGGTGTATCAGCACTTGGTTCTGTCCCTCAGGTTGTGCATATTGAGCCGGTCTTACTGCTAGAGTTTTCTTGGTTTCTTCATCCGTCGAGGCAGGGCCTGCTGCCCCGTCTGGATCTCTTGCTTCGCTATGAGGCACCGGCCTGGCATCTTTGGGAGACTCGGGCTTCTTCTCCGTCATCTTCGCCTCCTTGGATTTCTCGGAGATGCCTCCTTCCAATCCCCTCGTCCCCTCGACAGGTTTCGAATTGATGCGATCGTCCATGACCGCATCATTCGTCTGAGGCAGGTCTCCGTGGTCTTTGTACGATTCCTTTACGACGACTTCGTCCTCCCCTGCCTCGGCGCCCTGCTTCTTCCTCGTTCGCTCTGCGCTTGTCTCGACAAAAGGTCCGTCGTGGGGCATGCCATCTTTACCATCCACCGGTGCATGTTCTGTTCCAACCAGAGGCCCCTTGAGGGTGCTTCCTCCTCCAGACGCGCCAACCGCACCCCCTAACGTGCCTGGATTGACGGGATCTGTTGCGGATAGATCACCGCCTAATGCGTTGGTGGTCGCGATAGAAGCGAAGAAGAACAGGAGTAACTGAGCGCGCCGTCGTCCGACTTTCATGGTTGTGTGGTGTCGGCGTCGAAATGAAGGAGAGGTGGATCTGAGGTCAGCGCAGGTGAGACGGTCGCGAGAGATCAAGGCGAGAGGGCAGCGGCGACCAATATCTTGGACACGTATACTCAGACGTCACAAGGTTGTTGCGTTATGAACATGAGTAGCGTGAGAGCTGAGAGAGATGGAAGTTGGAAGATGGAAGATGGAACGTCTCGTGCTCCTTTCCCATGCATCTAGATCTCATCTCGTCCACTTTTGGAATGGGAATTCTGTCCCTTTACTGTCCGGCATCTCGCCCGTCTGCCAATCGGAAGGAAGCTGACCAGGGCTATTCTTGGCGCTTAGTTTTGCATGAGGCTGAACATTCTTCGACAAATGGACGCAGACATATTGCCTCTGCGGTACCGAGTCATTGGCTCTAGGATCTCACCCCAGACTCAGGGCTGGAAAGCAGTCTATTCTTCTTCGGCTTGCTCACCATGCCTATGATGCCCGGAACAAGTGAGGACAAGGTACGAATTGGAACCCTGATCTTCTCTCAGTTCTTGCTTGCTAACTGCAAAATCCCAGAAGCGGAAAAGAGAAAGCAAGGAGAAGAAGTCAAGTAAAAAATCGAGGACGGAACAGCCGCAGCAGAATGGTGCCACTGGACAAGATCTCGACACTTCCAAGCCCTCGGCTGTATTTCAGCCCAGTGGCGGCCGCTCATGGACGCTTTCCATTGCACTTCCCGGCAGCATCATCGCGAACGCGAAATCCCACGAGCAGAAGACCTTCTTAGCTGGTCAGATTGCACGAGCTCTGGCAGTCTTCTGCGTCGACGAAGTGGTCATTTTCGACGACGAAGACGTGGAAACTCGACGACGACGACCGTCCATCAGCGAGAACGACTACACGGCCTACTCGCATCCCGACCACTTTCTTGCTCACCTTCTGTCATACCTTGAGACGCCGCCACATCTCCGCAAGACGCTCTTTCCTATGCATCAAAATCTGAGAACGGCAGGCACTCTGCCCAGTCTAGATATGCCGCATCACCTACGCGCCAACGAATGGTGCGAGTACCGTGAAGGGATTACTACAGCCGCTCTTGCCGACGGCAGCGGTACGCTGGTCGACGTGGGTCTACCTGGCTACCTAAAACTATCAGGTGCAGATATTCCGCCCAACACGCGAGTGACTGTCCATCTCAAGGATGACGATTCCAAAGAGGCCGAGGCCGTCTCTCCAGATACTCCGAGACAAGACCGGGGCTATTACTGGGGATTCAATGTACGCCAATGCAGCAGCCTGACCGATGTCTTCACCGAGTGTCCTTTCGACGGTGGCTATGACATCTCATTCGGCACCTCGGAAAGAGGTCGACCCCTGACAGATGTGTTGGCAGAACCGTCTCTGGCCGATCCTAGCAGTCTTCAGCATCCTCTCATCGTCTTCGGCGGCGTCGCGGGCTTAGAAACGGCAGCAAAGAATGACGCCAATTGTCGCCAAATGGGCCTGCTTGGAGAGAAAGTCAAGGATCTGTTTGACGTGTGGGTGAACCTGTTGCCTGGCCAGGGTAGCCGCACTATCAGAACTGAGGAGGCCGTGTGGCTGGGCTTGATGGGCTTGAGACCCTTTCTAGAGCGGGTCGGAAGGTCTCATGAAGTGAACAGTCGATAACCTTCATTGAGGTCCAGTTACGCCAACTAGATCGACTGACAAAGAGAGACGACGATCATCGTCTGGACGAGTATCGACCCAGATATCTGGGCTTTATGACCCCACAAATGAGGTTGTTCAGGAGTCTGGATTCCGACAGGGCCCAGCGTTAATGCCCCTCGACCTTGCGGCGATGGCAACTTTCACCACGTCCTCGCTCTCACTTGACCCTCGCTCAGTACCGTATCTGCCTCCCAGACGAAATTCGCCCGCTGAAACTATCGGGTGAAACTCACGCCGAGACTGGCTTCAACGAAAAGCCCTGTACGCAACGGTCAGATGAGCCTTTCCATTGACCTCTGGACAAGACGTGTTCCTGTGCTGGGGGGTTGTACGCTCCCTTGGGACGTGGCAGCCGACATGGTAAGATAACGGACTTGTGATCAGCACCGCCTCGACCAGACGTACGGTCCATTTGTCAAAAGCATCCAGCAGAGTTACAAATAACCAACAGGCAATATTCTTTTTACCTTTACAGGGCAACGTGGGCTGCACCTTTGCTCAGAGCAAGCGAAGCTGAAGTGAACAAGAGACGCAAGTGAAGAGCCAGAGAGCAAGAGAGGGGTGAAACATAAATGACTGAATGGAGTCGCAAAATCAGTGAACAAGATCTCAGAGACCTCAGGTCCTCAGTCTCAGCATCGATTCCTTCCTACCTAACTCGTACTATACCTGAACACGGTCCAGCGAGAGGCGAGGCTAAGGTGGTGGTTGCAAATATGTAAAAAGTTGCACCACTTTCGCCACCATATGCCTCCTGTCGTCTTCCAAACGAATTGGACACACACGGGTCGACATCCTGCATCGCCCCGTCCTCAGTCCCTGGGCATTCTCCTGCCACCACAAATCTTCTGGCCGCATTGCTTCTCCTCATTTTGCTCCGCGGAGGTTTGAGGGACAAGGCTGGAGTAAGTCCCACACTGGGTTGTCATCGCTCTCAACCCTATTCGCCCATAAACCAGTGCTGCTCATGTTCACATAATAATCAAACTTGGAATCACCAGAAAATGAATGTAGCAAGCCGATGGCCGCTTTTCTGAAGCGATGTCGCTTACCACTTGTCAAGCACATCTAAAACCGTCGCAAGGCCTTCATCGTGTATCATGGGTCACCAGTAACTGACTGCACGCTTACTGCACAGCTCTCCTCGTCGTTCTAGACGAGAAGGCAACCATCATGACGACCTCTCCAGCAATCCAATCACTCAAGTCAACCTACAAATTCCTCAGAACGCCCATCATAGTCTCGGCGCCCATGCGCGTGTTCGCCGGCCCAGATCTCGCGGTCGCAACCTCTCGCGCTGGTGGTCTAGGCTTCATTGGCCCTGGCCTGAAGCCAGCGGACCTCGGTTCAAAGCTCGAAAGAGCACAGGCACTCCTCGACCAAGCACCAATTGATCACAACTCCAAGTCTCCCCAACCGTCATCCAGCCACATTCTCCCCATCGGCGTCGGCTTCCAACTCTTCGATGGCGATCTCCAAATCGCTACCTCCACTGTTCGAAAGTACAAGCCTGCAGCCGCTTGGCTTTTCGTCCCTAAAACAGGACAATCCGAGGTCGACCAGTGGACGTTAGGGCTCCGCGAAGCGTCGCCGTCGACGAAAATATGGCTGCAAGTGGGCTCTGTGGCAGAAGCCATGGCTGCTGCAGAAAGCAAACATGCGCCAGATGTTCTCGTCATTCAGGGTATCGATGCTGGCGGGCACGGGCTGAGAAAAGGTGCTGGTATCATATCTCTCTTGCCGGAAGTATGGGATGCATTGAGGAAGATCGGGTCTGATATCCCGCTCTTTGGAGCTGGCGGTATCGCAGATGGTCGCGGCGTGGCTGCCGTGTTAGGCACAGGCGTTGCTGCGGGGGCAGTCATGGGTACGAGATTTCTTGCCAGCAAAGAAGCGGACGTCAAATCCGACTACCAGAACGATGTCCTTCGAGTTGCGGATGGCGGTCAATCCACAATCCGAACGGACCTATTCGACAGATTACAAGAACGCCACGACTGGCCCGAGCGATATGATGGACGAGCAATCATCAACGCCAGTGTGAGAGACGAATTAGCGGGGTTGGACTTCCGGGAAAACAAGAAACTGTTTAAGTCTCAACAGCAGGACGGCTCGCTTGGCTGGGGCGACGACGGCAGGATGACAGCATATGTTGGGAGTGCGGTGGGCTTGGTGACAAGCGTTGAGAGGGCGCAGGATATCATCGAAAGAGCCAGAGAGGATGCGAAGCAGGCTCTGCGGAAAGCCGTGGCGGAACTTGACAATTGAGCAATCCGCTACCGTCGATGTTATTTTTCCGGCCACCAGCATGGATGGGAGTCCCGTGACATCAGTTCTCAAGCTACAGGACATTGGTCTCTCCGCATTCCGACTACGACGAGGCCCGCATGATGGGGTCCACCATGCTACAGGCATGCTATTTCCGGGCTCGACGCGAACGATAGCTCGTGTAGTGGAACCGCTAACATGAGAAGACGTCGAAGCCAGCGGCCGACTCTTGATTCTACGCCCAGCCAATACTACCCTACCGCTCTGCAGCCTTGCAGAAAGACAGCGGCGACAACCCCAATCTTCCAGCATGTCGGACTTGGCCGTCCATGCCCCGCAGACTCCAACTTTGGATTGAGGAGATGCCGAACGAAGATAGATACTCGTGTAAAGGCCCTGTCATCCTCCTTTCCCAGCGTATCAAAAGACTATATACCACGGGGAATCAAGTCATACTAGCACCCCTACGCATACCATATTTACTCGCATCCAACATGTCGACCTCCAGCAAAAAGCGCTTCCCTATCCCGCCAGGCGCAACGGCCTCGGTAAAAATCATCGACACAACCTCCCATATTGGCAAGCTTCCAGTCGACTTTGTAAGTTGCCAAGTTCTCCCTGCAGAGCATTCCAAACATACGCTGTCGCAAACATCCAACGTTCATACCCGTCGTTCATAACCTGACAACCCTACAGCTTATGGAACCTCCCGTGCCGGGCTTCGAATACATGCCCGACCTGCCCTCGTGGTCCTTCTTGGTCGAATCCAGCACAACAGGTAAGAAAGCACTGTTCGATCTGGGTGTCCCTCCGGACTGGGAGACCTTTGCGCCCGCTGTCAGCGATACCTTGAAGACCCGAGGGTGGGAGATCCATGCCGAGAAGCACACGAGTCAGATCCTAGAGGAGAACGGCGTGGATTTGAAGTCGATTGGGTCCATCATCTGGAGGTGTGTATTTGTCCTGTTAGCATTAGCAGCATGGGTTGGATTTGTGCCCCCACTCCCAGCCGCATAAAGCTAACGGGATGCCTGATACTTCAGTCACTGGCATTGGGACCATCTAGGCGATCCATCGACGTTCCCTGCGTCGACGCAGGTCGTGGTCGGACCAGGCTTCAAAGAGGCTTTCGCTCCTGGCTGGCCCTCCAGGCAGGATGCGCCTGTCCGAGAGAGCGATTTTAAGTGCGTTGCACCTTGATCAAATTATGTTCAGGGGCACCTACCCTCTAACCAAAACGTGCATGCACACAGAGGCCGAACACTCCACGAAATCACATTTACCGAGCCCGGTACCCTGCAGGTCGGCGACTTCCGCGCGGTGGACTTTTTCGGCGACGGATCCTTCTACGTCCTTGATACGCCCGGCCACGCGGTAGGCCACGTCTGCGGTCTCGCGCGCACAACGTCTAATGCCGGCACCGACACGTTCATCCTGATGGGCGGTGACCTGTGCCATCACGGTGGCGAAATCCGACCCTCTGAATATATCCCACTCCCGCGGGAGATCTCGCCCCACCCCCTCACGCGGGCGTTGCACCCACCGTGTCCAGGGGCGGCATTCGAACAGCTCCAGACGTCGAGGAACCGATCGCCCACGAAGCCTTTCTTCGATCCCGCGATGGGGCTTGACATCCCCGAGGCGATCCGATCCATCGAGAAGGCCCAGAAGGCAGACGCGGATGATAACGTGCTGTTCATATATGCGCATGACGCCTCGGTGAGGGATGTGGCGGAGTTTTTCCCTAAAGAAGCGAACGAGTGGCAGAAGAAAGGGTGGCGGGAGAAGATGTTCTGGGCTTTTTTGGCGGATTTCAAGGACGTCGCGAAGAGTTTGAGTGGATAGGGGAGAAGGTGGGAGGACCACGCGCTGGTGAGGTCGAAGTCGGGAGTGCGTATGGGCGTGCTTGCGAATGTGCCTGTGCTCGTACTTGTCATGGCTGCCCATATGTCTAGGGTATTTGGAGAGTAGTCCGTACCCGGTATTGAGATCTCCTTCTCATTGGGGGTACTCGTTCGAATGCCTCATGATCCCCCGAAACCTCAAGAAATCCAGCCTTCGGGGGCGCCTGTGTTGCAATTGGTGAGATTTCTTTGGCGAGATTTCCGTGGCGAAATCGATCATCCAAGTGCCCCTGGATCAACATCATCGCCTCGGCGAATCGATGCACGGTGACAACAGACGTACTACCCCAAGATGTACTGGGTATAGATACGTTGCAAGTGGATCGTAGGAGCCAGTTGCTGACTTTGCGGGGAGCATACGACGGCACGGACGAGTGGGCGTTCGAATCACAGAATGGGTATATGCAGCAACTCGGAAAGTGCGGCCGAACAACACTAGACCCCTTATGAGTGTGCTTGCAATGTAGAGTCTTCTGAATTCACGTACTGCGCAGGCACGTAGCGTGGAGGAAAAGGCAGAGACTAGGACCACTCGTTGGCAGGGACTATGTGACCAACCTTGGAAGGTGCCAAGTGTTACCGCTGTACTCGGTATTCCAGGATGGATTCCGTATCTCCCGTCTTCTAGACATTGTTCAATCTCGGATAATATTCATATGCAGCCACATCCGCTTTTGTAGTCTCTGCCCGACTGGGAGATGCCCTTTCGAGCCTCTTGCCGTCTGTGTTAGAGAGGTGATCTGCATCATTCAATAAATCAAGCGATCGATCCCCTTCCCAGCTTCTTGGAATTGCACTATGCGTGATGAGACGTTTCGAGTCCGCGTTGTGGCCGAATACAATCGACAGGATCTCCAGCATCGGGGGAATGAGCGCTGAGGCGGGAGTGGCACCACTGGAGCCCATCGCTGAGTCATCAATTGCTGCCAAGCCGTCGTGGGTACGTAGTTGCTCTTCACGTGCTTCCTCAGTTTGTGGATGGACCACAGGGAGACAGCGTATCTGCTTGCTTCTAGTGCTTCTTTCCTGCTCTATCTCGCCAAAGCGATTGCAGTTCAAATACGGAGTACGTCTGTGGCACTGGCCGCATGTACGCTTAAATCTGGGGTCATCCTCCGCAAGACAATCGAGAGCTAAATCATCGCAGCAATCAGAAGGACGTCGGCGTGCGCGGATGCTAGACCCGTCAACGAATGCCCACAAAGGCAGGAAGCGAAAAGATTGATTTCGCTTGAAGCGGGACAGTTGGGGGCATCCCCGGTCCGCCAATCTACAAATGAGAACCCAAACAACCTGCACGAGGGTGCGAAGAGGCGACTGGCGCCATCGGCTGAACATACGGCACACAGTTCCAAAGGAGAAAGGGTACAAGGCCTCTGGCTCCCAGCCTACTAATAGCATTTTTGTCCCGATACGGGACTTCCTAGAGTCGCATACCCACCTCATCGTGAAGGTTACTAGATAAGTTCAAGCCAGTGTGACGGGTGTTCTCCACTGCAAACCGCAGTGTAGTGTACGGTGTAGTGGAGTGGAATGAAGGGGAATGAAGTATGCTGCACTGTGTCCGCCGTACCGCAGCGTCAGTGAGTGACTACATGGTACACTGTGTAACCCCCGCCAGAGCCAAGGAACATGCGCACATCGACCCAATATGAGGATGCGCCAGCCTTCTTCACGGTGCCCCCGTCCCCCTGGTTGCCCGTCGCGACGCCTTTTCCAAGGACCTGAGCGCATCATGCATGTCTTACTACAGCTCTCTCCAAGTAGATACCTCTTTATGGCTGATTCTTATACTCCTAAGCGCCAGTGGTGACACGCCACGGCTTGATACTACTGAAGGACGTCCGAACGAGGCAGGACAGTACAAAGCGCTGCCGTCGGGGTGGCAAGCAGCGCAAGACCGGCACCTGCCCTGTAGTAGTACGAGTTGCCGACGACCAAATGTTGCTCACTCGGAACGTTATGCCGCTCTGCAGATGCTCAAGGCCAAGACTAATCGAGGATGATATGGAGCGATTGTCACCTATTTCGGCTGATCCTGGATTGACTGCAGTCGAAACATAAGGTTTGAACCAGTATCGTGTGAGATATGCGAGAAAACTGGAATGTGCAGGCGAGTCGAAGGACGAACCAGACACGGCGTCGATCGTGCAAGTGCGTCTTGGCAATTTAGTCAGGTACATTGGTCAAATACACGAGAATTGCTCCGTCGTGGATGAGGTTAGCGCGGATGAGGTTATCGATGTTCGACCGTCTTCGGACGCATCGGGACCAGCGCCAAACAGTCTCGCAACGCGGGCTGCCAACGATATTCCAGATAAGGGCAACGCCATCCTGCATTCGGACTCATAATTTCCGGTACTGGTGCCAAGCTTTTATTGGCATTGACTCCGGCAGCGGCTGCAACGGTCACTAGCAGTCAAGCTTAATTCTGGGCCCACCGCACAAGTGACACAACGATCTGGCTTGTTTCTGCCCAACTTCAATCTGCCATGTGTTTGACATCGGCCCCCTTCAGGTCTGCGCATCGACGCCATCGCAGGATAGCCTCCTGACTGTGCGAGGCAGCCTCACGCTCAATCAAGCACGATCTACGCATATGCATTGGCATGGCTGACTTCAATTTCAACATCCTTGTACGCTGTCCTGCTGCAGTCTCCACTCTCAGCCAGCCAGGAGCTCGGGCCCCTGACCTGGCTACTCTAGCGCCAGAACCTCCCTGTTGTCGATCGATCAGTGTCTCTCCCCCCTTGTCCCTTTCCGGCAGGACGTTGCCAAGCTAGAACCAATGTGTGCGCATCACATTCGAGACGGGCAGCAGCCACCTCGCATGGGCTTGAGAGGAGATTGAAAATTGAAGCCTGATGCTGCAAGATGCCATCCCCTCTGGGCTGCAGATTGTGAAGGCACTAATCGAACATGGAGTTGTTGGAAATGCCGTCCTCAACGACCATGCCCCGAACCGAGTACTTGTATAAGGTTTGCGCCGCCGCGTGCCAGATGTCGGACTCTTCTCTTGACACCCACTACCAACGTCCAACTCGTCTGTCATTCTTTCGCTGAAGACGTCTCGTCAAGATGTTCTTCGTCCGTTCTTTTACCGTTGTTTTCACCGCCGCCTTTTTTTTGTCTACCCAAGCCTGGAAGAATGACGAAGTGGTGACCGTCACCCAGACCAACACGTACTACGTGTGCCCGTGCATAACAGACACACCGTGGACCTCCACCCGTGGCTCGCATGAATGGGTCGAATGGGAAGGTGATCACACTGGCTCCAGCTCAAACTCGGGCTGGGTCACCTCTCCCACAGGCACGGATACCAAGACCCCGAAAGGCCCGACCGGCTCTGGCACCACTTCATCCACGCCAGGAAACCATCCCCATTCGCGGCCGACATCCAAATCCAGCTCCGTGCCAACCACCAGCCCAACGTCGAAGAGCACCACGCGGTCTCAGCGTCCTTCGACCGGTACCTCTTCCAGCACGACTTTGAGTGTTTCGACGACGACAACTAAGTCGCGAAGCTCAGCTTCTACCTCGACCAGTGGTTCAACCAAGACGACGTCCAGCGTTTCAACCAGCACCAAGTCTACAAGCTCAGCTTCCACGCCGACCAGCAGCACAGCTAAGTCGACCAGCAGCACAACTAAGTCGACCAGCAGCTCGACCAAGACGACTTCTAGTGTTTCGACCAGCACCAAGTCAACAAGCAGCTCGGCCAGCACCTCGAGTGTTTCGACCTCGACGAAGTCAACCAGTACTTCAAGTGTTTCGACGACCTCGACCAAGTCGACGAGCACCTCGACCAGCACCTCGAGTGTTTCGACCTCGACTAGGTCGACGAGTACGTCTAGTGTCTCGACAACCTCGAAGAGCACCTCCAGCATTTCAACGACCTCGACCAAATCGACCAGCACTTCAAGCGTTCCGACGACCTCGACGAAGTCAACCAGTACTTCAAGTGTTTCGACGACCTCGAACAAGTCGACGAGCACCTCGAGTGTTTCGACATCAACTAGGTCGACGAGTACGTCTAGCGTCTCGACAACCTCGAAGAGCACCTCCAGCATTTCAACGACCTCGACCAAATCGACCAGCACTTCAAGCGTTCCCACGACGTCAAAGAGCACCTCTAGCGTGTCAACCACCTCGACTAAGTCGACCAGCACTTCCAGTGTTTCGACAACCTCGAAGAGCACTTCAAGTGCTTCAACGACCTCGACTAAATCGACTAGTACTTCGACGTCAACCAAGTCGACCAGCACCTCAACTGTTTCCACAACGTCGACCAAGTCAACCAGTACTTCAACTTCAACTAAGTCGACCAGTACGTCAACGACAACTAAGTCAACAAGCACTTCAAGCGCTTCGACAACCTCAAATAAATCGACCAGCACTTCAAGTGTTTCGACGACCTCGACCAAGTCAACCAGTACTTCGACGTCAACCAAGTCAACCAGTACTTCGACGTCAACCAAGTCAACCAGCACCTCAAGTGTCTCGACAACCTCGACCAAGTCGACTAGTACTTCAACTTCAACCAAGTCGACCAGTACGTCAACGACAACTAAGTCAACAAGCACTTCAAGCGCTTCGACAACCTCGAATAAATCGACCAGCACTTCAAGTGTTTCGACGACCTCGACCAAGTCGACCAGTACTTCGACGTCAACCAAGTCAACCAGCACTTCAAGTGTTTCGACGACCTC